TCACATTCTAGCAGGAAATCGGCCACCGCTTGCCCTTTAACAGCTGTTCTCGGCTCATACGTTATGTCAAATGAACTCAACTCTATGGCCCACTTTGTCATTCTGCCCGAGAGCTCTGGCTTGTGCATAAACGTTCTGATTGGGAAAGTTGTTAGAACAGCTATGGGGTGGGATTCGAAATAATGCCTCAACTTTCTTTTTGCATTTACAAGTGCAAGTACCACCCGTTCGGCCTTTGAGTATCTTTTTTCTGCCTATGTCAGTGTTTTGCTTACATAAAATACCGGGTATTGCACCCCTTCCTTGCAACGAATCAGAACGGCACTCGTCGCGACACCAGATACTCCAAGATATAGAAATAACTTTTCTTCCGGATCTGGGGCTGACAGGATTGGTGGATTCTGCATATATTCCTTCAAATGAGTCAATGCTTGTCGTTGCTCATCCCCCCAGACCTGCCTTCCATGGCGCCGAATCGTGTCAAAGAACGGTTTGCAGTGATCTGACAATTTTGAAATAAATCGACTTAATGCAGCTATTCGCCCTGTGAGGGCTTGCACCTCTCTGATCGTCTTTGGCTCGGCATTCTTAATCAAAGCCTCTGCTTGAGCGGGGCTAACTTCGATGCCTCTGCGGTTGACCACGTGTCCCAGAAACTGTCCGGAACTCACACCGAACGAGCACTTGGTTGGATTGAGCCTCATCCCATATCGCTTCAGTACATCAAATACATCTTGCAGATGCTTTAGATGATCATCCTTCTTCCTACTCTTTACCACCATATCATCAATATAGGCTTCCACAATCTTACCCATTTGATTCTTAAAAATTTTGCTAACAAGTCTTTGATAAGTTGCTCCCGCATTCTTTAGTCCGAAAGGCATAACTTTGTAGCAGTATGTTCCTCGCTCGGTGACAAAAGAAGTTTTTTCTTCATCTGCAGGGTCCATAGGGATCTGATTATAACCTGAATAAGCGTCCAGAAAGGTTAAACGCTCATACCCGGTGGTGGCATCCACCATTTGATCAATCTTAGGCAGTGGGAAGCTGTCCTTCGGACAGGCTTTGTTCAAATTGGTGAAATCAATGCATACTCGCCATTTCCCATTCTTCTTCTGCACGACAACGACGTTGGACAACCAATCAGGGTAGTGCACTTCTCTGATAAATCCCGCATCAAGCAGCCTATCGACCTCTTCCGCTATGATTTGATTACGTTCTGGAGCAAATCTTCGCTACTTCTGTTTCACTGGTTTGAAATTGGGATTGACATTCAGGGAATGACAGGATACGGAGGGACTAATTCCAGGCATGTCTAGATGACTCCATGCAAATACGTCGGCATTGTGGGACAAGAAATCCACTAGCTCTTGCTGCTCTTCTCTGGTCAGTCTTATACCTACTCTGGTAGTTCGTTCTGGCCTGGACTGATCGATCTGCACATCCAGAAGGGGCTCCCCGGTCAAGTCGACTGACTCCTCCACCCTGTTCTGCTCGAGCGGAGGTTCCTGTAATTGCTATCTGGGGCTTGCCGAACGGACGGGTGCCTTCCCTTTCCCAGCATGCTTTAGTGTGACGGAATAACACTCTTTGGCTGCGACCTGATCCCCCCGAATGTCTATCACTTTATCTCCATCGGGTCCGAGGCACCTCATGACCTGATGCAGAGTTGAGGGTACACCTTGGACTCTGTGAATCCATCCTCTTCCCATCAGGAGATTATACGAGGGGTGAATTTCTACAACCACAAAAGTTTCCATAAGAGCTCGTTCTGCAGCTTGAACTTCCACTTCCACCATCCCGACGGGCTCCACCCTCTTCCCATCGAACCCTAACAAGGGATTTCCAGTGGGCTTGAGCCTCTCTGGTTTAATCTCGAGCCTATCAAATGTGTCCCTCGGCATGACATTCGCACTGCTCCCAGGATCGATCAGAACTCTGCGCACCAAGCAGTCCGCCACTGTTAAACTGACTACCAACGGGTCTTCATGGGGCAGTTGAACACGCTGCAGGTCTGTCCAGTCGAACTTTATCTGCATCGACGGGCTCTGCTGGTGTAGAGTATTCACACTGCTGACCCTTTTCTTCATCTGCGCCTGCCGCAGGCGCGCCCGGAGTAACTCATCTGACTCTTCACTAGGCTCGGGTCGACCATGGATAGCATTGATTATACGAACTGGTTGTGAATTGTGGGAGCTTTGTTTATGATTCCTTTTTATTTGTTCCACCGGTCGATTCTGCTCTATCGCCGAGCCTTGAACATAACTCGCGAACTCCCCTCTAGCTATCAACATCTCCACCTGCCTCCTCAGGTTCCTGCATTCATTAGTTTGATGACCGAAATCGGAATGGAAAGCACAATGTTTAGTTTGATCCCTCTGTTCGAGGGGTTGCCTAATTGGCAGTGGTGGATGAAACTTATCTTTGTTCTCCTGATACAGCCTCGCCAGAGTGACGTTCAGCGGAGTAATCAGCTCTTCCTCCCTGGACCTTTTTTCTGCCTTCCAAGAGGTCTGACGTTGCGGCTGAGCCTGCTTCTGCCTGATCTTTGCCTTGGACTTTTCCTCGGTCGACACGAGCGACGCTGTCCGAGCATTAGCTGCCTCCTCTTCTTCTAGGCGCACAAAGCCGTCGGCTCTTTCATTGAGTTCATCCATAGTAGTCGGCGTGTTCACTACCAGACTAGTGTGAAACGGAGTTCCACGTGTCATGGCTAACTTGAAGGCTTGAACTGCTGTAGAAGGGTGGCATTCGATCACCATACTCTTAGTGAGATTAAACCTGGTAAGAAAAGCCTGGAGACGTTCATCTTTGTGCTGCCTCATCGTGAATAGACTCGAGATGTCCTTCGGCGGGCACTTGTTCCCATAGTACTGGCTTATGAACCGATCGCACAGGTTTCTGAAGCTACCAATGGAGCTCCTAGGCAAGTTTTTGAACCAGCTGAGCGCCGGTCCGGCCAGGCTTGTAGGGAAACATTTGCACATTAAAGAGTCGTTTTTCGTATTCAGGGCCATTTTCAACTGGATATGGTACACATGATCGATCGGATCGGTTGTTCCGTTAAACAGAATAAAGACTGGCATAGCAAACTTCCTTGGATGCGGGGCATTCAAGATCTCGTCGGTGAATGGTGAATCAACCGTCCGAGCTGCGGATCGGAGAGCTTCATTCTCTCTCTGGAGTCCAGCGGTAGCTCTGTGAGTTACGGTTCTGCCCTCCGAACCGCGATGAGTGATATTAGCCATGGATGGCCGGTAAGACGGATCGAACGACCGTTCCTCTATGAACTCTCTTTGCCAAGGCGACGCTACTCGACGGCGATCAACCTCTATCACTTCCTCTCGGTCGAACCCTTCCCGATGCGGATCAACGTGAGTCGATCCTTCGTGATCTTCAACTCGACGAACATTTGGCGGCAAATTGTCCATCATCCTTTCATCACGGTGGTGAGCTGACTGATTGTTCTCGTCCTGTTCGCCTTGACGCGCGATATTAGATTGAACACCTCCTTCACCGACCGGAAGTGGATGCGAAACCGCAGGTATTTGCCGATGTTGCATTCCAGCTTTCAATTCTGCATTCTCTTTTCTGAGAGCCTCAATCAAGTTCATCAACTCCTCAAGCTTTGTTTGCTGGACAGCCTCCATCGGATTGGAGCTTTCACCTATCATTATTCCTGAACGGAGTAAAGGCATTAATCTCAAGTTCGCGAGTAGATCTGAGCTTCGTGAGTGGGAATTTTTCAGATCTGGTTTCGAATTCTCCGAATTACGCTCACCGTTTACGAGATCTGAATTGTCTGAACTCTAAATCCGTCAGATCCCGCCACAATCGAACAACTCGTTGTTGCGTAGATCTGAAGCCACTTCTGCCAAAGCTTCAAGAATTGTAATTCCTCCAGAGTAGGTCACAATCGCTCAGATCTGGATCCAAATCCCAAAGATCGAGTCTCGATCAACCGAATTGGTCTGAATCCACTCGATATTCCTCATTGATCAACCAAACTTCCATACGTTTCCCACAGACGGCGCCAATTGAAGATGCAAGATATTCATTCCCTCTTTCTCTCTCAAGAATTCTTACACTTCAACCAAAAAGATCCTCCCATCTTTTCCATTCCTTCCCCCATTTATAGATATTTACAAGATATTTGCAAATATTGACTGATTGCTGGATCTGGGCCTGTTCCTGCATAAGTCCTGGTCACCTTTGATGGGCTTACTCGCGTTCGGCCCATATGGCAGTGTCTTTATATGGGCTGACCCAGCTGTACGGACCGAATGTAGTGCTTGAAAGTCAGATCCGGCCCATGTCGTCCTGGGCCTCCTCATATATACTATTATTATATTATTTATTTTATAAAATGCTTATAAATAAAAGAATTTGATATGAATATTTGATCAAACAATTAATTAGATCGACAAAAATAAATCTTAGTTATATAAGTAATTGAATGGCACAAAGTAGCTATTAATTTTATAAAATATATATTCTTTAATTTTTTGATGATACATATAATAAAAATTAAATTAAATTTAAATATTATTATTCAAGAAAAAAAAAATGAAAAAAATATTATTTTTTTTAATCTAAATTCACACAATTTGATGAATGGCAATAAATAGGCCCGTTATTGCAATTGCAATCTAAGCGCTGTCATTGTTGTAGACTTCATCTACTAGTCCTTTCGAAACACGCCAATACCGCAATACGTACCCCATTCTCTTTCTTTTTTGGTTTTGTGTTTCTTTTATTCCCTCGTGCGACATGAGCTCTCTTTCTTAATTAATTATGGAACACTAGTTATATGTATGTATGTATATATATATATATAGACACACACATATGCATGTATGTACACCTAGCAACAGAGAGATACAAAAGCTAGCTCTTCAATAATAATCGGTGATAATGGCATGCATAAGGAACATTTCGTTGCCTTCTCAATCTTGGGCTGTGTGTAATGGTCCTCTTGTAGTTCCATTGAGAGGTCGTTCATGGCGGATAAAAACCTCCTCACGTTCTACTTCTATGCATTGCATGTGTACGCTTATTCCTTCACCACACATGTCAGCCACATTCGTCAACCATTCTGCTATCAAATCTCCACCCCTTCCCACGGTAAATATGATTCATATCATTTTAGTACCTTTAGATTTTTTGTCTAATTAATTAATTGTTTTTAGTACGTAGCTAACATATTAAAATCAAAACATGGATTTTATGGTTAATATGGTAGCAGGAGTTCCCTTATCAAACTGATCATAAGGGCGCCAAAACGATGGAACTGTTAGAAAGAACGCAACGAGAACTTCGAAGTACATCGTCTCCGACCAGCACGTTGAAGTTGATTGACACACTTCAACGATTGGGAATCGCATATCATTTTGACGAAGAAATCAATGCAGCACTGGAGGGGTTCATGGATTATTGGCATTCCGGTGAAGATCTCTTCACTACGGCACTGCATTTCCGGTTACTCCGACATAATGGTTTTCAAATTAGTTCAGGTACAACAATCATGAACCTCTTCACTACACTGTACTACTTTTCAGTATAAATAAGTCGAGGGTTCAACACCACACAACATTATTAAATTGAGGGTACAACACAGTGAAAATGTGTCGTATTCTATATTTATATGTATTGCATGTAGGTGGCGTGATATATGTTACTTTTCTGGAGTAACATTTTATTGTGTTGAACAGATGTTTTTCAAAAATTTGTCGACAAGAATGGGAAATTCAATGGATCGTTGAAGAATGACACATGGGGCATGTTGAGTTTATATGAAGCTTCGTATTTAGGTGGAAAAGATGAAGATATATTGTCCCAGGCTACGGAATTCACAGAAACTCAGCTCAGACAATCAATTCCACTAATGGAACCCCAACTTGGTAGACAGGTTAGTGAGGCCATACAGCTTCCGAGGCACTTGAGGATGGTGAGGTTCGAAGCTAGAAGGTTCATTGAACAATTTAGTAGGGAAAGCGACCAGAGCTCAGCCCTGCTGGAACTTGCAAAGTTAGACTATGACCAGGTTCAATCACTGCATCAATCAGAGTTGGCTGAGATTTCCAGGTAATCAGAGTTTGTTTGTTTGCTTTTAATAAATTGATTTACCCAAAAAAAAAAATAATTAATAATTAAAATAAGTGAGTGGAAGCTAAATTGATTGATTGATTAAAGCAAAAATCAAACACAAGATGTTGTAGAGAAATATGATATATGTTATTGATGAATGAAGGAATAATATGGTCTGTGTTGTATGTATTTATAATAAAATAAACTTAACAAGCAGTAAAAAAGAATTCGAGTCGGGTTATATCTTTAACAAATTTTTAAAAAATATTCAACAATCATGAAAATGCGCTTTTAAAGCCCTCAAAGCTACTGATCTCTGCGTAAAATTGTTCCAAAAAATGTCTCATCCTATGTTTAAATATTGGCCTTCGGATGGTCCAAAACAGTTTCCGTAACTTGTTACCCAATAATGAAATTTTATTAGAGGTGGTGATGATTGAACAATGGAGCTCTTGTATATATTCAAAACTCGATGCCTTTTTAGGCTCGTACCATGTGTATTTATACAGATGGATCGTGGCTTATTTTCCTCTTTGATTCTTTCTATTTGATACCCATTTTTAGGCCCCGATCGTGCTCGTTATTAACTTCCGGCTTGCCATTTTTGCTTGTGTGGCTTCTTCACGCTTGATGATTAGGACACGTGGCGGCTCCTAATTGGTCTCTAGGTTGGGCAGGTGGACTCCTCTGATTGGTGTATTATTTCTGGTCCCGCTTTCTACATCAAAACAAAGAAATGGGTTAAGAATTTCCATAGCATGATAAGAAAAAAAATTTGATATCCCAAAATTTTAATTTATTTATTTTTAACAAAATAATGACAGATATAGATAAGGTGTGTTTTTCATTCAACTGAGATACTCACACTAAAAAACAGCCAACAACTTGTCCTAATTTGAGATAGAAATAGAAGATAAAAACCATTCACTACTGATCCTAAACAAACTGGTTCATGTATCATAATTAATGCATGCCTCTAATAACACAGACATAAAAAGTTAATCTTTTGTAATATTTCAGGTGGTGGAAACAGTTGGGTATTGTTCATAAGCTCGGGTTTGGTCGTGATCGACCCTTGGAATGTTTTCTATGGACTGTTGGAATTCTGCCAGAACCCAAGTACTCCAGTTGCCGAATTGAGCTAGCCAAGACCATTGCCATTTTACTAGTTCTTGATGATATATTCGACAGTTATGGCTCATTAGATGAACTTGTCCTCTTCACTGAAGCAATTCGAAGGTTTACACACTTTTCTTCTCCTTTATATTAATTTCTGATGCATATATATCAGTTAGAAATTTAATGGACTATAAACTAAAATGACACATTAATTGAATATTTGCAGATGGGATCTTAGTGCAATGGAACAGCTTCCTGAATACATGAAGATATGTTACATGGCATTGTACAACACTACTAATGAGATTGGTTACAATATCCTAAAGGAACATGGATGGAGTATTGTTCCATTCCTAAAACGGACGGTAATACTTTTTTACTTGTGTTGTTTTTTTCTCGATTACTTGGGATCCGCTACATAAATCCTATAAAAATTTATTGATGTTGCAGTGGATAGACATGATTGAAGGTTTCCTACTTGAAGCCCAATGGTTAAACAATGGATATGTCCCAAAAATAGAGGAGTATATAGAAAATGGGGTTACAACAGCAGGAACATACATGGCACTGGTACATATATTCTTTCTCATAGGTCAAGGGGTTACAACAGAAACTATATCAATGCTGGACCCATATCCCAAGGTCTTTTCTTGCTCCGGAAGGATTCTTCGGCTTTGGGATGATCTTGGTACCGCCACGGTATGTAATATGATGAACCTTCATTTTAAATATTACAAATAGTTGTGGAATTATTTGAAATATATTTGATTTACTAAATGGGATATGAACACAAGTACAAATTTTTTTTTTTGGTGAAATAAAATTATATTAGGAGGAGCAAGAACGAGGAGATATTTCATCGAGCATAGAACTATTGATTAGAGAGAAGAATCTGTCGTCCCAAGGTGAAGGCAGAAAAGAAGTGAAGCAAATGATTCATAGCTTATGGAAAGAGCTCAACGGGGAGCTAATGGCTGCGAAGGCATTGCCGCTACCAATCATCAAAGCTGCTTTCAACATGTCAAGAACATCCCAAATCGTTTATCAGCATGGAGATGATCACAGGTTTCCCAACGTCGATGACTGTGTGCAGTCTTTGTTCTTCACACCAGTTCGTTTTTAGGTTTCAAATCAATGCATGGTTGGTACCTACGTGTGCAAATTAAGACTACCAGTTCTACTAAATCTAGTCCAATTATCCTTTACTGCTTGTTAATTATAATTGCATATTAGTACGTACAGTAAAATAATCCCAAAACAACAATTTCTAGCCTCATTAATTCAAATCTGTTCCCATGCACTATGGTCAGATTGCAATGTTTGATTTTTTTACATGCATCTACCAGCTATTTATGTAATGGGGTTCATTTGATTAAAAACAAAAATGGCAAGTTACATTTAAACTCTAAGGTTTGAAAACAAAATGTCCCGCATTACATGCTTTACGTATTTCAACCTAGCAGAGTGTATTTTCTTGTATTTCAATTTAAGTAGTATATACGCGTTTTAACAATATTATAAAAAACACTTAAACAAATACTTATTTCGTTCAGAATTAAATACTAAATTAAATTATCATACAACAGCTAAATAAGTTTGGTTCTAAACTTAAACCTTCTGTGTTTAGCATTATGCTGCATTCATTTGAGAGACCGCGCCTCAGCGAATCCCTGCCAGTTAGTTTGTCATTTTCTCATTGTAGTTTGACATTGGTGGGTTTTGTTGGACACCACATGAACAGGTGGGTATTTCCTCTCCTAAATTTGACAACCTTACGCAATTTAAATCTAAGAATGCAAAACACTGTATTAAAGGTATTACCAAAGCAAAAGTTCAATTCATTTTAATTCAAACATGTAACACTTATGTAATGTATTACAGTAGGTTTCAGAGCTATAACACTATTAAATCTAAAATAAATTATTTTTTATATTATTGTTCTATTTATAATTTGATATTAGTATTAGGTGGTGTTGCATTTTCAATTTAGTTACACTGAAGCCATTGGACTCAAATGTGTACTGAAGAGAACCGAACAACTAACAAAGGTTCGTTTTTATGTGTTGAATAAATCTTGGATACTGTTGCCCAAAAGAATGAGAACAGAGAGTCATCTGCTAAGTGTCCATAACACTTTTCATATATATACATATACATATATATATATATATAGTGACGGACTCAGAAAATTTAGTGAGGGGGCGGTCTTTTAATTTGTGGGGCAAACTTATATGTTGAGTCCATTTTTATAATTTTAATGAAGTTATCTTCATAAATTTTCAAAAATTTAAAGTATAAAATGCAAAAAATTAAAAATTTAAAAAAAAAAATAGTGGAGGCGAATTGTAATTTTAGTAGCATCATTTTCATAAATTCTTAAACATTTGAAGTATAAAATCTAAAAAAAGAGAACCCAATAAAGGCGAATTCTAATTTTAACAGGGACATCTTCATAAATTTTTTAAAAAAAATTAAAATATAAAAAATATCCCCTCTCACTGGTTCTATGTTTAGTCCTTGCCTATATTTATATATAAAATCCAAATTTATAGTATGGAGGAACAAAAATCCTCTTTTTCTCCCAACAATTTATTCACTTTTATCTTTATATGAACTTCATCCAAAGCTATCATTATATGTGTCAATCTGGTGGGATTGATCAAATCATCTCAGCTAAGATGAAGTTAATCTTAAGGATTAACCATTTGACTCTGGTATAATGTGAATGAGCATTAAAATGAGACTGTATATGTCGTAACCCAAGTGGTGGGCGAGTTTCACAGTATGGTTTGAGTGTCATGTTCCATCCATCCACCCTCTTGATTAGAAAATAAAAAATAAAAAAAATTTATTAGGTCAAGTATAAAAAATATTCCTATAATAAGTGCATATTACACTATTGACACGCCGAAAACACCTCTAAAATTTTTATTTGTGAAAATAAATCTCTGCTTACACATTTAACACATTTAAGTTATTGATGAACTAAATTATCCTTATTCAAACATTTTATAGATTATTTAAAAATACATTATTTTATAAAATGACATAAATAATACCTCGTTTAAGCTCATTGTTTCACATATGCATCAAATTGCAAGTGTAGACAACGTCGGCCGGTGACTCGAGAGAGTATTTGCGACCGGAGAAATTGAAGTCAATAACGTTCAAAAACGATGATAGCGGAGGAAGGTGAATCTTGGGTCTGGCGATGGTACCGAGCTGGCCACGTATTTATGGCAATGGTGGATTTTGTTGGCAGAGAGGCTCAAACTATGCCCGGCCGGAGTAGTCAACAACTCCGCCTCCGCTTCCCTTCGTCAAGCCTCTGGGCGTTCACCGATTTGATCGTTCACAGTCTCATCGGCAAGAGTTGTTTATAACTATGTCGACTGACTTGAAAAGAATTACTTGGATGTGCATAATTTCTTCTCTATTGCAAGGCCAAATTCGGTCTTCTCCGCCGTAAGGTATGTAATATATATATATATATATATATATATATATATATATATATATATATATATAGATGTATATATTTTCATATCTATATGTATGCATATGTATACATTCTTAGATCCATGTTTGAATTAGAGAAACTGAATGTGTGGAGTTTAATTTTCTGATTACATGTTTGCATTGGATTTGTTCGTTATGTTCAAAGATGAAGGAATTTTACTATGATATTGTCTCTAATATCCTATGTAGCACATACACTGTACAAGAATATGTTGGCACATCAAATTTTTAAAAAGTAGGAAACGGCAGTATATAAATATAAATTTTTATTTTTATACATATACTTAGTAATAATAATATAAACTTTAATTCATTTATAATTTTTATACTAAGAGTTGTTCTGAAATGAATTAGAAAATAAAATTATGTCACTATTTAAATAATTTTTATATCATATATATTATTATTTCAGTACTTTATCGTGATAGTATTTATATTATATTTAGAATTACTAAGTAGACTTGTGTTAGACAAGTTCGAGAAGTATTTAAAAAAAGTGTCCGAAATAATAAAATTAATTTTTATTTATGGACATATATCTAAAGTGTCGTATCCAGAGTGTCCGAGAGTATTGTGATACGATACGAGTATATCTTTGAAGAAGTGTTCGTGCTTTCTAAGAATATCATACATTTTAATAGTTCAATATTTAAGTAGGTAAAGTATTAGACTTATTGTATTGAAGCTTAGGGGAACTTAGTTGTTCTTCCCATTTTTATTTTTTATTTTTTAAATCCGAGTTGAATCGATTATCTTGCTCGCTGGTCGAAGGCACATTATAACTGGAGCCTTTCGGAAAAATCTAATTGCGAGAAAAAAAAATCACACTAAAGGCCTAAAGCCTGTATATAGAGAGAAAAAAAAATCTGTAAAAGTGGATTAGTGTTATCTAGTATGAAATTATTAGCTTACACAATCTCTTGAATATTTTTAAAAGTGTAAAAAGGTAAAATAAGCATTACAATATTATTTTATGTCAAATTTCTAATCGAGTAATATTTCTGTATAATGTTAAAAGAATAAGAGAATTATTAACATACTTTTTTAAGTATAGATAAAAATGCTAAGTAAAATATATACTAAGAGACTAAGAGTATTCTCTGCACTTCATCATTACATATATATATATATATATATGTTAAGATGAAACATACTTTAATAAATAATGTAGAAACTGATATAATTTAGTCACTTACTGATTTAATTTGATCAATTTTTTTTGTAGGTGATGAAAAAGTATTTATCAATCTTCTAATGAATCACAATTAATACAAAATCACTATAAGAGAATTAACAAACCATTTGACTCTAGTATAGACTGAATAAGCATAAAAAAACGTTGTACTTTGTATCCCAAGTGTTGAGCGCAAGTTTCACGAGTGTGGTATGAGTGTCAATATTTGAGTTATCCATAAATGAGCGAGCACAAATTTTTTAATATTGATATTGAATAAATTTGTAATTTAGAATGGAAAATCTGACATTTAATTCAAAAAAGACCTCTTAAAAGTATTACTACTTTAAAAAAAAAAAATAAATAAAAAAAAAAAAAAAAAATTCTAATGGCTCGTGGGCTGCCGTAAACAAATGAGTTGGAACTGGAGCATGATTTACCTTTTAAAAAATAACATTTATTCCAAGTCCTATTTTTTTGAATTGCAAAACATTTCTTTATTTTTTAGGAAGTATTTAGTTTCACGAAAAAAGAAAAGAAAAAAAAGTAATGATAAAAAAATTCCACAATAAATCATATTTACGTGAGTAAAGAATGATGGACGTGTCGGGATGATATATATTCACATAAATCACTTTTGGTACTAATTATTAGTAGTATACAAATACTCACGTGGGTTTTAGAATGCGAAATAAGGTGAAGAAAAGTTTGGAATGATTTAAGTTGCTGCCAATCATTTATCTTGTCAAACCGAGAACAAGTCTGACCAACTTTTAAAACGCGACCTCCCTCTTGTCGAATGGGAACCCAAACTTTAGGGAACTTTCTTCCGAGTTTCAAAGGATCAACTCTCCATATTCATAGTCAACACTCCGTATATATATATATATACACTATATAGTAAGCAAAGCTACAAATTAAGATTCACAATATATAGCATCCTCCGAATACCCAAACTTCCAAGAAAAAAGTTAAGCTGTTTTCAGCTTAATTGGTGTTTGCATAGTCTATTGATGGGTCGATTTGTGTTGGCTTGGACGATAGTAGCAGAGATCATGATGGTCCAGGCAATAGCTGTTAGATCAGACGGTTCAGAGCTCAAGCCACCAAACACCATCAATATTCCCTCAGGGGATGATAGTAGTGTGGCATATCCGCCTGTATCAGGTGCTACTGTGGAGGGGTCGACATCATCAGAGGGTGGAGCTGAGTCTGGTACTGCAGCGCAACCTCCAGGGGAGATCAGACGGTTGAGAAAGCATCACTGGTCTCACGAGTCAGCAGTGGGTGGAAGCCTGATCATTGGTGTGCTCGTGACCACCAGTTTCGCTGCTGTTTACAGATACATCCGAGTCACCAGAAGAAGGTTGTAGTAAGCTCTCTGCTCAAAACTCTGTTCAGTCTATCCGATCGAGCTGGTGTGATCTCCAGCTTTATTTGTTAATGCAATAGATAGTGAGTGATTGGATAGGAATCATAGGATATTATTAAGGGAGTTTCTTTATACAATGGATAACTTCTATATGTTCAAACAATACGGGTATTATAGTCATTTTAAGCAGGAAGCGGTAGTTGTACGGAAACTTACATTGCAAGTGCAACCCGCATGTATTATACAAATGGTCTAGATGTTTATGCGAAACGGACGCTAGCAAATTTTTTTACTCTTTGTATCAAATTAAAAGTAATAGGGTATGTTGTACAACATAGGCCTATTTTATTTTATTTTATTTTATTTTTTACTATATCAATAGCATAGCGAATTTTTTGCACTTAATCAGAATTTTTTGTACTCTGATACATCTGATTCACCCAATATCTTAGATGGCCATTGGATGAATTATGTGTTGGCAACAATTATTTCTTTAAATCTTGACCCCCAAACAACCATCATCTCTTTAAATCATTAATTAAAAGAGAGGCTTTAAAGCAAATACTACAAGGCAGCTAGATACAATCAATTTCATTTTTTATTGCTAATGTATTAATATGAAGAACACTAATTAACTCTATAATTTTTGTTATTCTTCTCCCCGTTTGAGATGCAAAAATAGAAATTGTGATGCTTAAAGGGTAGATTACGATTGGGAACATTGTGAAGGGTGCTTTATGTTCAATATAATTTTACATACTAATTAAATACTAAAATTAGAGATAAAATAAAGAAATTTAGCTATAGTGGTTCACATTAAATAAATCTAAGAAAAAATGGTTTTCTATTGGATTTGAAGGAACCAAACAAGACACAAGCTAAAAGGGCATGACCATGGGACCTTATTCATTTACCCTAACAATACTATCTTCGCCAAGCAAAGATAATAGGCCTTGAACCCTTTCTACAAATAGACTTCAAATCCCAACCAGACTTACAAGCCTCGACAATACTTTCATTTTTACTCTTTGACATGATATTATTTAATTGTTGTAATAGAGATTTCAAACGCATCCGATTACATTTATATAAGAACAAAATGATACAATTACATACGATGATATCATTTCTTACAGAAATAAACAAAAAATTGGGACATATACTACTCTTGAACTACTTATTATTTTACATTTTTTAAGGGTTGTGTCTAAATTATGAAGATGCTAGCAGGAGAGAAAATATTGGAGAGTTTCATGTGCTTCTTCACTAGATGTATAAAGTAACAAAGAAAAGGGCCAGTTTGAATTTTACCTTGTTGTGCCTAAGCTTGTTAATCTGTTGGGCCTAAGTCTAAGCCCATTTGGGTTAACGGGGTTTGTGTAATTGTATGTCAGACCAAAGCCCAAGCCCATCCAATAATTTTCAGGATTCCAATAAACCCCAAACCCCTCTCTCTCTCTAGTCTGTATCTCTATCTTTCTCTCTCCCCGAACTGATAACAATGGCGACTTCTTGCTCGCACTGGTGGCACGCTCCAATCTACTTCGCCATGTCGATAACTCTTGCTGTAATAGCAATCTCTGCATCAACGCCCAGAAATTCAATCTCATCAAACCAACCCATAAAGCACGAGCTCTCGTTGAACGCCTCTCTAGCTCTCCGCAAAAATGGGTTCAACGTCATAGCCACTCTCCTTCAAGTTTCACCGGAAATCTTCCTCTCATCACCGGAATCAACCATTTTCGCAATCCAAGACTCTGCCATCTCCAAAGTCTCTGTGCCTCCATGGGTCATGAAACAGCTCCTGCAATACCACACCTCTCCATCCAAGATCTCAATGCAAGACTTGTTCAAGAAACCCAAAGGCACTTGCTTGCCAACCCTTGTTCATCGAAAGAACATCGCAATCACCAAGATTAATCGCAAAAGACCATCCATTGAGATCAACAACGTGTCGATTTCTCACCCTAACATGTTTCTTGAGGGACCCATTTCAATCCATGGTGTTCTTGGTCCTTTCTCTTCATTACATTTTCATAAAAACTGGGACATCATTCAATCACCCATCTGTGATTTCAATCACAGCATGGTTTCAAATTCTAGTGTGTCCGAAGAAATGGTGGAATGGACACGAGTTGTTCGATTGTTGAGCTCAAAGGGGTTAGTGTCGTTTTCCATTGGATTGAACTCTGTTCTTGATGGGATCCTTCGAGATTACCCACATTTGAATTCGGTCACAATCTTTGCTCCCATGGACTTGGTCTTCGTGTCATCGCCTTCGCCATTGCTTGATAGAATTGTGAGGTTTCATATACTGCCTAAGAGGTTTACTTATATTGAATTGGCTTCATTGCCTGAGAAAACATCTCTGAGAACATTGATTCCCGATAAGGGTCTTGAGATTACAGGGTGTGTTAATTTTACAAAAGTACTGGCTATTAATGGAGTGGAGATCACTGCACCAGATATTTTCTCATCTAACAAGTTTCAAATTCATGGGATTCCCCGAGCTTTTGATATGCAGGAGCTTCCCAGGACATCCAGATAGATTGGTTTCAGTTCATCTGGAGGCTGTTCTCTGTGAAGTGACCGTATGTATGTTCTTAGTCAGACCTTTTTTTTTTTTTTTCAATTGACTGTGCTTTTCATCCCAAACTGTAAAAAGAATTAGATTTTGTGCACATTGTGCCATTTTTCAAACGAATCAAATTGAAGCATTCAAATTGAGGCATTCTAATTGTTTGTGTTTTATATTTTCTTCTGTCCATAGTTATTTGCTTGACATAATGGCCAAGCACTTGTCCATGACTACTTCCAGTTCCAAGTCTAATGAAAAATTGTCCTTTCTTTTTAATCCATGTGATGAGTACTCGGGTGATTATAAACATACCCTGGTAGAACCACAACCCCGAAAACAAAGAAGAAAAAAAGTGTCACCATTTATCTTTCTGGACCCTTGTCAAGTGATAGTCAGTTATTAGTCAAGTCTTGCCATGCGATGGTAAGGGTTCCAACAGTTGAGCTCCATCCAAAACTGAAGTTCTCAAGAGGGTCTCGAAGACTCCAATACCTTTTTCGCTCTTAATTTTTAATATTGATGCGGCTGCATACCACGGGACCATCAATACATGGTCTTGTAATAAGATTCACAAAGTGATTTCAGCTTTGACTAACATGTTCTTCCTTTGGTTAGACAAAATCAGTACGAATTAAGCTGTTTAATGGTTCATATCTTCTACTTAACTGAACTCACTGCAAATTGAGAGCGAGTGTCAATCCCCTTTATTGACAACATAACAAGCATGTATAAGTTAACTCATAGCTGACAGAATAATTAAAAAGGAGTCTTCTAATCACCCTCTTCCCAAGAATGGGACAGCCTTCCCATGAGCTCTTTCTCCTTAGTCTGTTAAAATTCTTTCTTAGTCTGTTAAAATTTAGTTCCATTGGTATTTACTACCTGCCAATATTTTTTATCAATTTGCTGAGAGCAGCAAATTATTATTATTATTTCTTTCCTTTTTCTTCTGAAAAAGGTTTATAGATGGATGTTGCATTATTGCCAGCAGTATCAACTCTGCAGGTGAACAATTATAACACCCTAATCTTAGGAAGATGGATGTTATGAGAAAATTATATCTACTTAACACAGGTTGGAATTCTTAAGAGGTGCTTGCTAAGCAGATATATGTACATACACTGCCTTCTTATACACTTCACTACTTGTACTGCAAAATGTATGGGGTGCATCACCAGCATTTTCACATATATAAACTGAATAATGGTGTATTATCACTTCTAAAAGATTTGTAGTAAATTGGATTTTTTTGTGATGTGTTGGCGAAATATTAAAGAAGAATCAAGGAGATATTTGTAGTAGTCGTTGCCTCTGGTCTATAGGTGATTTTTCTAAAGACAACAAGTGAATTTTACTTTGGAGACAAAGTCAGGAGACCAAAAACTTTGCCTTTATCTAGATGGGCAGAAAAAGCACATCAATACATGCTTTTGAACGAATTATATCTCATGAATGATTGAGAGAAAATATTAGATGGCACAAACCATTATTTCCTCAAAAATTGTGAACTCAATTCATTTCAACAAAGAAAAATGTTAGAAAAATTAAAACTACTCTCTGATTGATCCAGTGGTTATGATCGCATCAATATGAACCCTCTGGTTATCTTCTTGTAGCCCTGATAATCTGACGGCTTACATTGATGTACATGTACCACATGCTAAGTGGATTTAATTGTCACATTTGATTCTATTGTACAGCTAGTGTGCATTTCCACAAGTGAAAAGAAAAAGGAGTCCTCTCAGCTTTCTTTTAAACTGATGAATCCATTCCATGTAACATCTGCCACCACATGATGCAGATCTGAACACCTCAGACATAGCATTTTTTTCCTGGAAGTTTTGTTTTTGTTCCTGTAACTCCTTCATATTTTCTTTTTATGATTTCTTTATTTGCTGTTATATACAGTTGTGATGTTTTTGTGGAAGAATAATGTTCTATAGCTCATGTAGCTACAAAGGTAGTTTAATAAACATAAAAGTATGTGCCTTCTTTCATTCAGTCTCTGCTTGAGGAAAAACTTTATGCTATCGGTACTTTGATAATATCTTCCATCTCCTTATACATTTTGTCCTTGTAAAAGATCACAAAACGGCACAAGCTTTGCCAAGTCAGTCAGTATATTACTTGTTAAAACTAGTTCTCTGAAGGTCATATGTTGGGTGCAATACCTGCCACAGTTTAATATTTTGGTGGTACGGGAGCATTTTTTATTTTTTTTGGTAGGAAAAATAAACACACACTCAATATTTTTGAAAGGACAAAAAAAAAAAAAAAAAAGAACTCACACAGTAACATGCACACACCATTTCCCAATAGGAACTTGAACCCTCAGAGTCTCATGTGGAAAGAAGAGATAAAGCTTGGCACAGGAGTTGTTGAATAAATATATGACAGTTATATAAATGGTAAAATAATGTCAAAACATTGCTTGTAAACCTATATAATCGCCATGGATTTGTTTTCAGTGCAGAAACAAGATATTTGTCAAAACATTGCTTGTAAAGCTCTGAAAGAAATCATCCGACTCTTGCTTCTATGGGAGAAAAGCCAGGTTCTCTTTCTGACATGAATTATTACCGAAACTCTTATATATTGTACCTGAAGTTAAACTAGAAAAACAATAAACTACAGTTTTGATTGAACTAGAACGGAAAGAATCTTGAAAACCAATACATCATTCAAACTTAGTGTACAGAGAGCGAGAAGGTTGATGAGTTATCAAAGACATTAACTCAATCCAAGAAAGTTTTGATATCCTAGTCAAGCAATATAACATTCAAATTGGTTTTTGCTTGCAAGAATTAATTCAATCCAAAAGTGTTTGTCTCAAATATTTGGGATTTGCATAGGTATTTAAAGTTTATTTTGTTTTCTTTCTTAGACCTTTATTTAGTTATTTATTTATTTGCCTTTCATCACTCTAGTAATGTTTAGACGACTAAAAAATCTGGAAACTCTACAGATAAAAAGTAAGCGATACCTCAAAAAGTTAATGACAGATGCAAAACCTTAAAAATCTTCAAAAGGTTACAAACTCCAGATGAATCACTCAAATAAAACAAAACATGCACGCGCGCACACAGATTTTCTTAGTAGATCATCTTCTTAGCAGATTCCTAAAAATGGTTTGATTTGCTTAGTTTTATTTGTTTGAAACATCTCGTGTTGGGTCCAATAGACATTCCATACATACAGATGTAAAAGAGGAAACCTTTGCATTCAGAATGCAGCATCTACACCCAAAACTGATGAGTGTGAAGGAATTATTTTGTTTTCACTCTCAATTTACTTCAAAATATAAGCTGTAATTGGATTTATTGCAGGCAAAATGAAACAGGGTGTAGTCCTGGAAGCAGTGGTTAATGTCCTTGTAAAAGATTTGTACAAGTATCTCAAAACTCAGGGTGGGTATGCTCTTGAATTTCAAACTCAGTTCGGGGAGATGAAGATACAGCTTAACCTTATGTGGTCCATCCTTACAGATGTGGACAGGCTTAAAAAGAAGCATGAAACTATCAAAACAACCTTTGTCCAGCTTAGAGAACTAACTTACGAGGCTGATGATTTGGTGATTGATTGCCTATTTTGAGCTGATTACAGAAAGAGGAAAGGCAGTTCTTGGAGGTGCCATATCTCTCCCCGTGAACTATTCTTCCATTATCAAACAGGAAAGGAATTGACAGACATTAATATGCGAATAGTAAAGATGGACGAGAACATGAGTCATTATGTTACTCCCATTGTAGCACAGCTCTGCAGTGAAGAAAGTAGCAGTACAGTACTGTTGGAAGATGGACGTCACAGGTCGTGACCAATCGCAGATAATTGGATTGACAAAAGATGTTAGAAAGATAAAGGGTGGATATTCCCACAAACTGAAGTGTTACATCGCATTGGAATTGTGGGGATGGGGGGCTTGGGCAAAACCACCATAACCAAAAAGATCTTCAATGATATACATCTACATGCTCACTTTGAGGAGAAGATTTAGGTATCAGTATCTCAAACTTTTAGTGAGATTGAAATCATGAAGAGCATGGTGAGACGGTTAAAAGAAGATGATTCTGGGTGTGATAGAGGTGAATTGCTGCACAAAATTCATCAAGCACTCTTGCATAAAACATATCTAATTGTATTGGATGATGTGTGGGGCACTGACCAGGTTGGTGGGATCAGATCTCCAGTGGGCTCCCCAAGATAGAGGGACACCGCAGTTGCATCATAATCACGTCAAGAAATGAGGATGTTGTAAGAAGGATGGGAGTTGTGGAAGCACGAATTCACCGGCCCAGGTTGCTTAACAATGAAGAGAGTTGGTCATTATTCTGCAAAATTGCGTTCATGGCAACCAATGGAATATGCAAATTTCTCCAGTTAAAAGAAATAGGGAAGAAGATTGTAGGAAAATGTGGAGGTCTTCCGCTAGCAATCAAAACAATAGGAGGTTTGCTATCATCAAAAACTCCATCCTCTGTCGAGTGGAAACGGATATTTGATAATTTCCATGAAAAATTAGCAACAGAAGGCAGCAACTCTGAAAATTCTGTAATTGCTTCTTTGCAGCTGAGTTATGATGAACTCCCTACTTATCTAAAGCATTGCATGCTATGTTTCTCAATTTTTCCCGAAGACCATGTAATCGATGCTGAAAATTTGATTTATTGGTGGGTAGGGGAAGGTTTTGTCCAAGAGAAGAGCTCAGAGACTGCAACAGAATCGGCTTTGAGTTGTCTGTCAGAACTGATTACCAGATGCCTGGTTGAAGTTGTGCAACAAAGGTATTATGATGGTAGAGAGTATAAATGCAAGATGCATGATATGGTACGGGATTTGACAATAAGAATTGCAAGTGAAGAGGCATTCGGCAGCTTTGATGGAGGAGGAAGGCACATACCCACAGTTGATTCCCCCGCTTGGGTGTTACAAGTAAAATGGATTTGGATACCTTGGTGAGGATTTGAAAACTAAGGGCACTGTTACATATGACACCCCATTCCATTTTGTTCAATTGAAATATTGGCTTGGCTAAAGTAAAGTCTCTCAGGGTTTTGGACTTCTCAGATGCTTGAAGGACCATGGATAAGATCAGTACAGAGGATCTATGGAAATGGATTACTTCTTTGAAACGCTTGGCTTGTATAAATTTAAGTGGTGTTGACGACCTTGGGAAACTTCCAGATTCCATTGGAAAGCTTTGGGGCCTCCAGATTTTGATCCTAGCACGATGCCAGTGGCTAAAAAAGCTTCCTGCATCAATCACAACCCTAGAAAAACTAGAAGTCTTGAACCTTACAAATTGTGTATATCATGATTACCTACCGCAGGGACTATCTCGACTCTCCAATCTTGAAGAGCTTCACGGATTCAAGCGATGTGGTCAAACTCAAAACACTGTCATCTCCGTGAGCTTAAGGATTTGGCTCGACTTCTGATTCTAGGAATAGAAATACACCAAAAACAAAGTAGCATTGAGGAGAATGAATTGATTGTACTATCACAATTCCAACAACTAAGGGTATTTCGCCTCCATGCTAGCAACTGTGAGAACATAGATGTTCTACAAAAGTTGAACAGGCTTTCACCTCCTCCAAATCTTGAAGATCTGTACCTTGAGTGCTACTGCGGAGAAACTACTCCAGAGTGGATAAACCCCACTTCACTTCCTCAACTGCAATATCTTTGTATTGACTGCTCACCTGTACTCAAACACGGGCCTTTGCTTCTGGGGTCCCGATGGAGCGACCTGGGAAGTAGAACTAGTGTAGAAGGCCTACGTTTGAAGAATTTGTCAAGACTGCAAGAGGAATGGGCACTAGTGCAGAAAGCCATGCCTTTATTAAGGTACTTGGAGGTTAGTGAGTGCCGCATGTTGCAGTCATTCCCCTGTAATGTCGGGAAACTGGGATTTTGGAAGAAAGAAGAGAGAGAAAATGTGGATGGCATGTTGCTCAAGTAGTTGCACCAGACATTTTAGGCTGAATAACTCTATTCTGGGACCTTTCGCTGTTCACTTTGTTTATCATATCGTATCATACTGTGTGTGTTGCTCAAAATTTTCATTTTTTTTGCACATGTTCGCATGGTTGCTGCATTGGGGTGATGGTTTATCGTATTGACCGCGATGCCGATACGCAATGTATCGGCCAATTCATAACTATTTTTTAAGGGTTCCATAATGTTGCATACCTCAATGAACTAATCGGTACGACTGATTTACACCGATATTCATCCGAATTTGTTACACCACGATTACGACCTATACCGCAACTCAAACCATGATTGAGGTGTACAAGGGAGAGCATGATCATATATTAGGAGGTACATATGAATGAAATTGTTCTGGTGCAAATAACATTGACACCCACTCTGCTTAAAAAACAAAAGAAAAATGTCACTTAATGCTCAAAATGAAAACTATGGGCTCGTTTGGCATGTATTGTGTTTTAGGCGTTATGTTTTTTTGTCAATATCAAAAAACCGTTTTGTTATAGGAGTTTTTTTGGGTAGAAATCGAAACTGTATTTGGTAACGAAAATTTGTTTTGAAAAATTCAAAAATTTGTTTTAATTCCTCTGCTACGGTACCAAAAACAAAATATCATCAATTTGGTGATATGAATTTTGATCAAAAAATCTTATCTGTTATAAACTATTCCAAACTAATATCAGCTTCAAACGGCTCAAATTTAAGTATCAATATCAAAATAATAATATCATAATACAATCTCAAGTTTTGATTTAAGTTGGTTTGGTACTTTTTATTTATTTATTTTTGTTTATATCCCTAACAATGTGTGAAATAAACCATTATTAACTGTTTCATTATTTTTTAAACACAAATTATTATTATTATTATTTTACTGAAAAGAGGAGAAATGAATTTTATTTTTATTTTTTAGGAATTTGGATAATAGAAAAAGAAAATTTTTGAGCGGGAAAGAATTTCCTTGACCATTTAACTTCTATATATATATATATATATATATAATTTTTTCCTACAAACACACAAAAGACTTATTGCTTTCTAAAAGAATGAGCTTACAAGTATGTTCTTATTTTTTATCCGTTTAACATAAAATCTATTTATACATAAATTTTGTAAAGCATGTTACAATGACACATATCTCTAATGTTGTGTCCTAGAAAATTACTTATATTAATTCTTATATGCTATTAATTAAAAAAAAAAACCAACATAAATATCATTTAATACAAATTTATTAAACTTATTAACTCACTTAATAAAAATAATATTTGTAAATAAACAAAAATATTTATTTATAACTCTCATTCTAATCAAATTATTCTTCCAATTTTTATAATAATTTTATTATAAAAAACTAATTTTCCCTCTTTCCATTTCTTTTTTCATTTTTGTTTTTCCTCAGCAACAGATCACAGATCTTATGTTTCACCAGCAATGGTGGTCGATCACTCCAACCTCTTTCTAAAAGAAAACAAATAACAACCCATCAAAATGGACAGACACATACAGATTCTGCTGAACAGGCTATCATGCGCCTCAATCACCATTGCCACATTCACCATCGTCCTCCTCCTCCTTCACACCCCTGACACCTGCGTTCCACGACACACCGAACCCAAGCCCCACCAGAGGTTCCCCACTTCCTCCTGCGATTTCTCACACCGCTCTCTCACGTCACTCGACAAGAAGAACCAACGTCTCTGGTCCACCAAAGCCTGGCTCAAAACGGTCCACTCCTTCACCGCCCTCTTCCTCGACCTTCAATCCCTCACCCATCTCACCAACCATTCTAAGGTTCTCTGCATCTCCGCCGGAGCCGGCCACGAGGTCATGGCGTTGCACCAGATCGGCGTCAGGGACGTCACCGGCGTCGAATTATTGGACTCGCCGCCTCTGGTGAGTCGAGCCGATCCTCATAATTTGCCCTTTTTTGATGACGTTTTCGATTTGGGTTTCAGTGCGCATCTTGACCAGGCTCTGTTTCCGACTCGGTTCGCCCTCGAGATGGAACGGTCGGTTCGGGTCGGCGGGGTCAGCGTTTTGGCTGTGGAGGAGTGTGGGGACGTGGAGGTTCGGGAGATTGCGAAATTGTTTCGTAAATCGAGGTTTGTCAGTGCCAAGAATGTTACTTTGATTGGATTGAAAATGACACGACTTATATTGAGAAAGTATATGTTGATGTGATTTTATACATGTATGATGATTGTAATGGATTTGGATTTGGAGTATGCAATGCTTGTATAGCTAAGCTAATTGTGTTTAAATTGTCAGCAATTGAAGTTTGGCTGCATCATGTTGATTTGTAGTGTTCATATTATTTGCTGTTGTCAATGTGTAATTGAATTTGGTTAAGCCGTTTCGATTACTTGAACTTAGTTTCATCTCATACTTGAGTCTTTCTTAGGTCTTGATTCTAACTAGGGATCAGTCACTTTGTAGCTACGATTCTAGGTTCATTTTCTTCAACACCCCCGAGGATACATTTGTGGTTTTTCTGATCTCACTGTTATTTCTAGTAGCTCTAGGACTGCTATATTAGGAGGTAAATGCATTGTGGTGGGAGGTTTTTTTATGACTAATTTGATCATTCATGCGTTCATACCATTACTTCACTATTAGTTTTGAACCAAGGGAAAGGTGTAGAACAACTTTGCAGCCTCGTAAACTAATGTAGCTGCAGCAGCAGTTGCATCAGGGATGGGCTTCTTAGTGAATGCTAACTACAATTTGCTAGTTAAAATAATAAAATTCATTTGTAAATTCTCAACTTTACTGCTTCCCATTCTGGATTCCGTGGCTGCACGATGTTTAACGGGGTTTTACATTCTGGATTCCGTGGCTGCACTATGTTTAATGGGAGCATTTGTACATTAAGGGTTTAATTTTGATAATGATCTGAAATTGGTTGTTTAATTGATGACTATGTTTTCCAAGTAAAAGTGGTCAGCGTGTGTGTTTAGGATGAGTTTCCGAAGTTACTTGCAGTTCCTACACTCTTTTTTCCTGGTGTCAGCAATATTTTTTTTGTTATGAATTGTTGAATTACTAATGTTATGAAGCTTAAAATCGCTAATCTTGTTTGCTTAAATTGTCTGATGCCCAGCAAGATAGATATAAGTTTGTATCACTATCTAATTGTAGCAAAATTTAATGCAGGTTTTTATAACTTAAATGGGATGTGAAACTTCTAAATCTTTCACTTTTTGAACCTCTTAATTTTGTTTAAATAGATGATTTGATAAGTGTGTTTGTTGTTGGAAACAATTTTCTTGTATAACTGATTGAAGAATTGACAGGGTTATGAGAGTATATATGTGATTATTTCACAATACTAAGATTAGTGGCATAGATTATGATGAATATTGATGGACTTAAGTTTAAGGGGATTCAAAGTTTTAATTAGGTACACAAAGGTAATATAAAATACATTATGACAAGTAATGAATTCAAATCAACTCAATTCAATATAGTTTCAACTATTTGTTATTGGTTACATGAATCATATTTTCACCATTCTATTCTGTCTAACATCATAACTTTTGTTTAGTCATACACTATTATATCTTTCTCTACTACCTCAACCATGTTATTGATCTGTAATTGAATTTCAATACGCCATTTGGATTCCTTGGAACTTATTGACGTATGAAGTTCAGAAGATTTCAGATCAAAGATGAATAAATTTAAATATTTAGACCATAAATGAACCAAGTTATGTACAATTACTTGATGGTTTCAGGTGACTTTTGTCATCTTATACTTGCATCTTTTTTACATCTTGATTCTTTCTAGGCAATCCCAATGTGAAGGATCTGTCACTTTGTAGCTACTGAGCCTGAGATTATAGGTTTCTGTTCCTTAAAACCTCGACATCAGTGGTTTATCTGATATCACTGTCATTTCTTGTAGCAATGGAGGTTTAATGACTGATTATAATCGTTCATGCATTCATACCCTTCTTCAAGAAATTAAGGCCTACATCAACTTTTCAGCCTCTTAAGCAGTTGCATCAGGGAGTGGCTTTGTAGTTTGTATTAACTACTACAATTCACTAGTTACAATAATAGATATCATTCCATACTCATTCACGTTCTGGTTTTCCTGGATGGACCATGCTTAATTGGAGCATTTCTGTTTTTTTTCCTTCTTTTTTTTTGGTCGACGACGATGGTAGTGTTCATTTCGTATGTCCGGAAAATTTTGCTGGAGTTGAAAGAGTCCTTTCATTGTGCATAAATAATTACCATTCTGATAATAATATGAAGTTGGTTGTTTAATTGATGAGGTTGATAGTATGTGGGTCTAGGATGAGTTTTTGAAGTGGCTTGCTGTTTTAAATTTTTAGTTAACACTTTTTTTCCTTATGTCAGTGACCTTTTTAACATGATTTGGTTAATTGCCTATTATATGAAGCTTCTAAGCGCTGAACTTGTATGATTAAAAGTTTTCAAATTTATGATTAGTTTATATATGATTATATTCTCTCTTTGTCAGGATAAGTGAAAAATACATTATTCTATTGTGGAGTTCATAAGATCAAGCCCTTCAAATTTGGATATCTGTATCTCCCAGTTAGGTGCATTGAATTGTATTGATTCAGTTAAAAATATATCACAAAGATACTGATCAAGAAGTACTTATCCAATATAATTTAAAAAGAAACAAATATTTATCAACAGCACATAAATATGGTGTGATTTGTATATATGGGTAGATCAATTACCCAAAAATCTCATTCTAATTTTGAGCTCCATATTATTTTTCTCTCTTACAATTTTAACATGAACAAACCAATACCCTGTCAATGTGACTTGGCATCGAACCAAGAATTATGGAGGTCTTGTTTTGCTTGTTGAAGCCAAACCTCAGACTCTCTCATTAAATCAGGACTCAATCTGAACATGAGTACACAAAACTCCATCTGATTGAGGGCCCCATCACCGTCCATATCACCTTCTTTGACCATGCTCCTCAGCTCATCGTGTGTAAGATCCTGCAACCCAAGAAGAGCAGAGTTGTTCTTCAAGCTCTCAAAGGTGATGAGTTGTTTGTCTGTGTCCATCAACAGCTGAAACCCATTACACAGCTCTCTGATCAGGCCTTCTCCCCCCAACTTATCCGCCATCAATGGCAGTGAATCTTCAAACTCTACAGCAGTAGTGTTTCTCCCGGCCATTCTTGAAATATGTTTAGAGAGAGAAAATAGAGAGAGAATTGGATGGAAATGGAATGGTTGAAGGGGAGAACAGCAAGGGGTTAATATAAGGATAAGGGTGCGATTGGGAAGGGTTTCCAGGAAGGTGAGAATGAATCCTTCTTATGGGGTCCCCAATGGATGACAACCAAACCTAGGCTGGTCGACTTCAATTCTTGCACACTGCAATTGCCTATCTATTTCGCAGAAGAAGCTTGACACAGTCAGGGGTATAATCGTCATTTAAGGTGATTTGTTATAGGATATATATTGATAGATGTTCCCTTGACTTCTTTTCCTTTTTTGTGGGTTAGAGAATTTATTTCAAATTGTTTACTCATTCAAATAAATAATGATAGAAGCTGTTTGTTTGCTTGGTTGGAAAATTGGGAAAGCTGGACCTAGAAGTTCGGAGGAAATTGAATGGAAATTTAGCTAATGGGAATCCAAGGGCAATAGAGAAAGCATTATGCGGAATGGAAAGAGCTTTTATATATTTTATTTAGTTCTTTCTTTTCTTTTCTTTTTTTTATGGCATTTTGATAATATATATATATATATATCTTTTTTATTATTGCTATTATCTTAATAAAGGGGGGAAATAGAACCAAGGTCATTTCAAATATTTGATGCAGTATTTCACTTTGGAGAAGGCATGAATTGTCAAATATTTAATGGCTAACTAACACTTCACAAATAAATAAAGAAAAACATCATTTTCTTTTGGAAAAAGAAATAGTTGCCATAAATTGTTGCCAAAAGAATCATTTTTTTTTTTCTCCATATTTGGTGTTGAAGGAAAAGGAAAGAATAGGAGAGGAGAGAGACTGAACTCCAAAAAGTAATATTAGATATGTGTGGTTGTCCTTTACCATGAAATTGCAAGTCACATGCAAAAGTCTATTTTAATAAACTAGTGTTTTTTTTGTGTTCCTTCTTTCCCCGGGAGTCAAGCAACTTCCAATGTAACTCAACAGGAGACCTCCAACTCTTTGTCATGTGGCGAGTCTTTTGGTGTATTATTACTATTATTAAACTTCGTTTTGAAGATTATTATTGTTACAATAATTATTTTTTATGATAGATATTTTTTACAGCAACTCCTATTACTTAATTATTTAAAATTTATTATTATTAATATTATTTATTTATTTATTTATTTTTAAGTATCAAAATTGAACCATTAGGACCTTGTCCAAAACAACTTTTGAAGTCTTCAGTTAGCTATTTCTTTCCTTCCAGGTAGTTTTCACTACGGGGAGGAAAATGATGGAATGGAATATTTAGGTCAATGGGTGCACTTGATTTGGTATGGTACGTTTTAGTGGGTAAAAACAAATCAAATCAATCGGAAATAAATAAATAAATAATCAGAAATGTTCTATGAAAATGCGCACCAAACTGAACGAATAGAATTAATTCATCACAACTCCACAAACCACAATGCACACTGACAAATTTATGAATAGAGAATTCCCTGCTTAACATACTACAGTGTATAGATACAGATTTATATATAAAACCAAGAGATTTCTTGAGCATGACATATATGTACAAAGACCAAAAAGCAGTGTCTTCAGAAACATTTCTACAATCTTTAATCAAGAGGAAAAAGGTTAGCGGCCTTCGACAGTTGTTGTAGACATGTAATTTATGGAGCATGCAGAGGTGTCAGGCAAAGGCAAATTTGATTCAATAGTGCTTCTCTCCAAGATAAATGCAGGTTGTTTTGGAGTTGGAAGAGTTGTGTCGTTGCAGAGAATGAAAACTATTGTAGCCATGGACGGCCGATCATTTGGTTGTTCTTGAACGCACAAGAGACCAACATGAATGCATCTCAACACTTGTGAGGGACTGCTAATTGAGTTGGCTATCTCTGAATCCAGCAATTCCAATGCTTTCCCCTTATTCCACACGTCCCATGCCTGAAATAAACATGTTGGAGTTTATGTAAAGACGGACTTTTTTCAAATAATGAAAGAAAAAATAGTCCATTAATTTCTGCTTACATATCCCAAGAGGTTCCTATAGATTTCATGGTGATAAAAGCCCGTGTTTCTTTTACCACTAATGATCTCTAGCAATAACACCCCAAAGCTAAAGACATCAGATTTCTCCGAAAATATTCCTTCCATTGCATATTCAGGGGACATGTAACCGCTGCAAATGCAATAGGCAATAGCAGAACAGTTAGGTACAGAAAACACAAAAGTACATTTTTATTCACAATGTGCATGCTTGTGAACCCAAGACAGCACCAGTGACATGTGAAGGCATTAAAATTACAAGGTTGAATAAATACCCAACAAAGATGGTGGCAAAGGGGAGAGAGATATGACATGTTGGACCATAATTTAATAAAACAAAACAAAATAATTAAATAGGAATTATATAGCTAACAGAACAATTGAACTAAGATTTGTAGAGTATAACTGGTAAGTAAAACATCAAACTTACTATGTTCCCACAACTCTATTGGTGTTTGCTAGAGTTTGATTCCCTCTAAAAATCCTGGCCATGCCGAAATCAGAAATCTTGGGGTTCATGTCCTCATCTAGGAGAATGTTGCTCGCCTTTAGATCTCGATGAATGATCCTTAATCGAGAATCGCGATGAAGATAAAGAAGCCCTCGAGCAATCCCCTCAATTATGTTACTTATTTGATCCCAATTCAATATTGCTTTTTTACTTGAACCTGATCCAGAAACCAAATCTTATCAAATTCTCTAGAAATTTGATGTTGCAATATCACAACAAAACTGCATGAGATTTAAAATATGATTTTTCTGATGTGTTACTAATCCTTCTGACAACTAAGAACATAGTTTACTTTCCAAAATTATATATTGATGAAAAAAAAATAGCTAACCAAAGAGGAAGGCATCCAAACTTCTGTTTGGCATGAACTCATAGAGCAGCAGTTTCTCTTCCCCCTCAATACAAAAGCCAAGTAGCTTCACAAGGTTCCTATGTTGGAGTTTTGAAATTAATATGACCTCATTCTTGAACTCTTCTATGCCTTGCCCTGAGCTCTTTGAAAGTCTTTTGACAGCGAGCTCTTGTCCACTGGGTAGTTTACCCTGAGAAGAATCATTTAATCCAATATAAATGTTTTTAACGAAAAAAATAAAAAATGAATAAAATCTGAGAATGATATATAACTTGAAGAAATATTAGATATGCTTTTGGTTACAAGTTGAGAGGCAGGACAGTGTACCTTGTAAACAGGACCAAATCCCCCTTCACCAAGTTTATTTGCAAGAGAAAAGTTTTCTGTAGCAGCTGCTATCTTTTCCAAGTTGAAATATGGGAGTTCTGAGCTTTCTTCTTGACAAACATCATCTCGAGACAAAAATGCCTGCGGAGAATCTGTTGATATTTCTCTTTGCGTACTGGAAAAAACCTTGTGAATGATCAAGGAGTGACATTTCCTTGCACCTGGTTTTTGAATGATCAAGGAGTGACATTTCTACATAATTATATTTACCTCCTAGTAAGGTCTTCATTCTGCATAAAATTAATTGATCATGTTTACCTCCTAGTAAGGTCTTCACTCTGCATAAAATGTATGCCAAAATACCAAGGCCGAGTATCGTGGAAATGACTATGAGTATAATGATAAAGCCCCGTATTCCTCTCTTTTCACCTGCATTTTTCATTAGACATTGCTAAATTCAAGTCCATCCTTAACAACACGAAGTTTTTATTATCAATATAAAAATGATAAAAAGTTGCTAATGTACTGATTGTCTTGAAAATCTGAAATGGACATATGAGAAATCAATTTGCAACCCAACTTCCAATAAATGTGTTGTTGTTGGCACAAGCAAAATGAATTATCATTGTGGGCAAAGGCTAGGGAAGAATTGCATAATATAATATATATGCAATGGAAAGGTATTAGAGCCATCAAAATTACTACAATGACAACTCAAAAATTAATAAAATACTCACCTAGTTCAGAATATGCAAGTCGAAGATGCAAATCCTCTCCACCATTAGAGAACTCCCTAACATCAATCAGATGTCCTCCCCAAACCATACACCCAATTCCATTGACATATGCATATGCAACACAAGAGCAGTTCTTCAAACAAAAATCACCACATTGGATCGCGCCATCGACACTCGAGTAATCCGAAAAGTCTGGTAATTTTATTCCTGTCAGTTTTATAAAACCATCAGATTTGCTACGATCAGTGCTCGAATTCCTCTCACACTGTATTTCAACTCTTCGTATACACCCACCCGTCCAATTTCTTCTGTGCCATTCTTCTGAAGACTTTGGTACGTAACCACTTAAACAATTGCATATTGGGGAGTTCATATCATTACAGATCCCAAATGAGCCACATGTACCATAAATATCGCAGGGACCATTGGGTGTAATCACTTGAGTAACCCATTCCCTAGTCTCTGCATTCCAGTCCTTTTGAATTATAGCTCCCAGAGAACTCAAAAACAGAACTGATGGTAATGACCCATTGAATAAAGAATACACAAAATAGATCGTTCCTGCCTGATTATCCTCAACAAGGTTAAAGCCTGTAAGGTAGTCTGTGTTCATGCCTGGAAGTCCTATGAAGCTCCTCCCATTCCACTGCCCACTTCTCCAGCATTGGATTGTTCCGTTTAAGATCACACTTTCTGGCAGTTCACGAGGCTCCAAAACTAAGACAAAATTTCCGGGTGATGGATCCTTGTCACTCTTACATGATGTTAAAAATAAACTTTCCCCTGTCTTAGTGTTCAATCCCAGCTTCATGCCCGGCAACAAAGTATCTGATGGATGACTGAAGCTTTCCCATAAGACACTCCCGTTTGAGTTGTTTTCAATAAGAACAAGATTACCTGAAGCACGAAGTACCGCAATTGTATCATTTGATGCAACAGAAGCTAGCTTTGTGGACCAAACTGTGTTGAATCTGTCATCGATGAGCACCAAATTCCCATCCCTTCCGATCACTAGAACTCCAGACGTATCCGTCAATGGGTTGTCTCTGTTTGCAACCCATACAACTTTTTCAACGGGGAGTCCTCTGTACCATATAGCCAAATATCTTACATGAGATTCATTAGGACTAAAGAAGCCGAGCTCAAAGACTTCCCCTTCTGAAACCATGGTTTGACCATCCAATACATGTTGGGTTTTAGAAATGGTGTCTATTGCTAAACAAGATAGTAATAGGGAGATGTGAATGAATTGGAGGGTTGAAAGAAATACAGCCAATTTTTTGTTGGAATTAGTCATTAGGATTGAGTAGCTATTGTTGCCAGAAGGAAAAGAAGCAAGACTCTAAATAAGTTGTTTCTTCTTCAAAGCAAACCAGTTCATGAATTAACTCCATAGACTGATGTTGACAAAATACTAACAGAAGACTTTCCAAGTTAGAATATAGGTCAGATTGTCATGGATGATTTTTTGGATTATAGCTAATTAGTTACTGTTCGCAGCACTTATTTGCATCAGGTAGCTATTGTTTTTTTTGTTCCCACTCCGATAATTACCAAGTAGCTATCATCACCAAGAAAAATAAAAGATGGGATGTCAATTGTATAATGATTCAAAGAAAACCAGTTCATGATTTAGGTATACAACTTGATGTTGAATAAAACAATTATTAACTATATGATCCGTAATTAGAATAGATCACAAATGTTTTTTTCTCCTTTTTCTTCATTAATTAATAAGGAATCAAGCATTTACCTGTGATTGAGGTGAGCTGCAAATTTTTATCAAGCATTGTTTGATATAAAACTAAATTTATCAGTGAATGGTCAACAAAGATATAAACAATTCCTAACGATTTGACTGTGTTTTATCATTCATAGGCACAATGGGCTATGATGGTAGATCAACCCTCTGATCCTATAAGCGTGATGACAACCTCTACCAACTATGGCTAGGAGAAGATTCCACAGAAGTTATTTTTACCTAAATATATTTTAATATGCTTTAAAACATCCTCACGGTAATTATTTTTAATACAAGTCAAACTAGAATATGCTGAATCTCAGGAGCATGGATGGTCCAAGATAATAAAATAAAAAAGCTCCTCAACTGAAAATGGGATTGTAATACAATTGTACATTCATTAGTCCACTTTAATCCAAATACAATGTATAGCTCCCATTCATAAAAGGACAAACCCAAGGCTCCCACTGCCATTACAGGGTCTGAAAAGAGTCAAATGTACAAAGCCTTTCCTCCCGGGCACAATAAAGTAACCTTACCATTGCACCAAAGCTCACCCGCCCTCCTATAGATTCCATACATATTGGTTCACAATTTAATTTTTCTTCTTTTAATACATTAATTCTATAGGTATTAGCTGTGAAAATTTGTTTTACCCTACGTTACATTTCAAATTTCAATCGTGTACACTTAAATTGTATCCATCTTAGAGGATGTGGTCAATAACTACAGTTTTCCACTTAAAAACCAGAATAATTGTTATCCTATCTATTCAAATGTGATTGCCAAATTAAAAATAAAAAATCTACTACGAAGGAATTTTGTCAAATAATAATAATAATAATAATCTATAAATATGGCTCATCGCACCGGTTCAAATTGAGGGTTTATTACTATATAGGAGTTTGGTAGAATATACCTGATTTAGGAGCAACTCACGAGCCTCTCTAGCATTTGGGCCAATCCAAAGAAAACTTACACACTGATTCAGTAAGGTTTGAATACCTTCTTCAGTAATCCGGATCGTGCACAGAGAGAGCTTCTTCAGTAATCCGAAAACGTAGCAAGATCGACCGGCAATCCCCTTCCATCAACACTCGCACTATCATCTGCAACTTTTGATAGTTTGAGGTTTAATGAAATCATGAGTTTTATTAATAAGATGGCAAATGGACGGGTTTGGGTCGGGTTATAAACAGATGGGTTAGTAGTGGGTCATAAATGATAGCTCATAAATAGATTGTGTATTACATGTGGTAGATGATTTTTTTTTTTTTTTTTGATAACAGAAATGTCTTGATAATCTATAAATATACTTAGTACATAAATTCTTATATTGTTGCATAAATCAAAATTAATGTAACGACCCTAAACTGAAATCATTTATACAAAAATTTCGACATGACCTCTCCTAAAAGTGGTCCTTCAACAACCTGTCCCAACACACAAAACAAAAAAAATATACTCTAGCATCCCATTCATCCGTTCATTATACCTCAACATAGTTCCTCTCATGGTGGAACATGCACACACCAATTAATTCAAATTATCATAATTACAGTCCCAAAATACATGGTTAAGATCTAAAGTCTATGTCTTATAACGTTACATGATACAATTGCATGGAAATATATATACCATGATTCCATTAGTTTTATTTACATCAAACAAAAGATAAATTCGTTCTTAAATTACAACGCCATGAATACTAACTTAGTTACATTTCCACAACTATGAATACACATAGAATGGTCAAAATACAAAATAGCAAACAACCTTCTAACAACTTTCAAGCTTGCGGAAGATTGTCATCCGCCGTTTCTTTGCCACGACCTGAAAAAAATGTTAAATAAAACTTGGCAAAACTTGGCATCTCTTCAATCTTTAACTCCCACCTCTTGGGAGCAGGAAAATACTTCTCATAGAACAGCTCCTTGAACCTATCCCAACTCATCTCTTCAATCTTATACTGATTTGTGATCGATTTCTACCAAAACTTGGCATCCTTTGTAAACTTGTAATTGGTTAGGATGATTTTTAAATGATCCTCCGTCACATCTGTAGAAGTCAATTGAGTTTCAACTTGCTCCATGTAGTCATCCGCTACCATGGGATTTGTACCGCCTTCAAACATCACTGGCATCAACTGAGAAAACCCTTTAATAATCTTGAGACGCTTCTGTGCTGGCGTCTCCTCTACTTGCACTACCGGTTGTGGTACCGGCTGTGGTATCGGCTGCGGCTGAGTAACAATGGTGGCTCTCAAGGCCTTATGCAACAAACGATTCAATATTAGTTCCGCCGAACTTTCACCCTCTTCAATGGGTGCTTCCACATTATCCCTCCTTGTAGGAACAACTCTTGGGGCAATCAAATCCCGAAGAAGTGTGTCTTCATCAACTGGCTCCACTGGATTGGAGCTAGAGCTCTTGCCAACATCACCCCTTGTTGGCCTAGGGCAACTTCCCTGGGTTCCTCACGCCGTAACATCGTTCTATAAAACAAAGAAAACAGTTCAATAACAATTACACTAAGGTCCAACCGTGAACAACTCAACATAAAAGGATGTTATACTAACACTTAGCATGCAATACTATGCAATGAACACATTAATATAAGCATAAACACATAAGCACGTAAACAAGTAAACAGTTAAGTATGCCTTTTCACGTAGCAACACTTTTGCAATTAAGGAATTAACAATGCAAATGACTTCCCAGACAACCCTAGGTAGGCCTTTACCCGTCGTCCTAATGGTTTTCGAATCAAGGCTCTGATACCAAATTTGTAACGACCCTAAACTGATACTATTTATATATAAAAAAAAAATTCGGTATGACCTCCGCTAAAAATCATCCTACAATAACCTGTTTAAATGCATTTTTAACCTGTCCCAACACAATAAACATCTAATACATTACATGGTGGTACAACCACATACTATATCATCCAGGTATTATAATTACAGTCTCAAAATACAAGATTAATATCAAATATCGATGCTTTACAACATTTAGACAGCTTATATACAAGTTACAGCCCATTGGTATAATTATAATATTAAAAGTCCATAAATTGTCATACAAAATACATTCTGCTTAGTCTTACAAAAATAGTGAGACCCAAGTACAAAAATAACAAAATAAGCTCCTAATCCATACCAAGTCTGTGGTAGAATGTCATTCGTCACTTCTTTTCCGTTTCTTGAAAAAAATGTTAAATAAAAGGGGTGAGCAAAATTGCTCAGTAGGTGGTGCCTAAAACACATCTTTTGGGTCCCCGTGAATCCAAATAAGGAATAGAACAGTAGGAATTTAAGGTCATGCAAAGCCGGGAAAATACAATATCAATTCTAGGTTCTAAGCAAATAAATTTCGTGCCATAAATGCAATGTTATGCATGTCACTCCCCATTTTCAGAAAAATATTATCACTTCACAAAACTGTTAATATAATCAGCCCTTTGGTGACTCCGCAGCGACACTAGAGAATGATTGGCTACTGTCCCTAACCTTTAGTACCTCCGCAGCGTCATTTGGGGCCCAAATAGCTCAACCACACTAGGGCAATCTCCCTAATTCCCTCTAGGCTATATTAACACACCGGCCCTTTGGTGACTCTGTGGCGACCGGGTTTTTCTCAAAAACCGTTTCATCAAATTCTCCCCAAAAATTCCCCTTTTCATTCTTATCAAAACATTGTACCTTTTTTCTTTCATTCCCAATGTTATGGATGTATGTCACATGCTTTTACCATTTTAAAAAAAAAAAATTAGAGAAAAGTTCTACTACACAATTTAGCATGCATCCATATAATAAACACTTAGGTATGACAATTAACATATTAAGCATACTTTACAATAATTTTAGGAGAATTTTCATAAACTTCCATGAATAATTTCTAACAATTTTATCAACACAATAATATAAAGAATTCAATAATCAAGCATATTTTGCATACAATTCAATAATTTCACATACTCACATACTATATATACAAAATCAAGTCATTTAAGAGGCAAATAAATCAAATTGATCATGCTTGACAACAATTATGGTAGATGACTCACAAAGGCACAAGGTAGTGAGAATTAGAGACTCCTAACTCTATGTTATGCAAAACCCCCAATTTGCACCACAAACCCTCAAAATGGGTCAAGATTTTCCGACTCCCTAGTTTGCTCAAAACTGATATTACTGGTACACACGTGTAGAGCTCGCCGTGCTCTCCATTTTGCCGCAAATAGCACTTAAAATTACTTAAGAAATGATGAATTAATCAGAGGTTGAAGTTTCAAAGGAAAAAGAAAAGGAAAAAGGCAGCGGGAGGGAGCACTGGCCGAGAGAGAAGCTGATTTCATAAAATGGGTCTGTAATGGCCCTTAATTGGTTTAATGGTGGGTCTCACCATTTTTTTTTTCTTTTGCTTTTAAATTACACCACACACACACAATATATATGCACCATATATACACAGACATTACATATCAATACTCTATTCATATTTTTCATATAATATTCAGTTTTATTATTATGCATATACACATGCGCACATTGCGCGCGCGCGCGCACACACACACATATATATATATATATATATGTTGTTTGTTATGAATTAAAAATAAAAATATATATTTAATTTGATAGCCTCATTTATAGCCTGTCATATGTTCTTCTTTCCATGTTCTTCTTTCCATTTTTTCTTTACATATCATTTATAGACATGTTAACGGAAAAAAAAATCAAAAATGCACTAAAAAAAATTACTGGTAATTTGGCCTCCCCCAACTTTATATTTCTGGCTCCGCCCCAGATGGGTGTTACATGTTACAATTGGTATCAAAAAAAGAAAAAAAAAAGAAAAAAAAAAGAAAAAAAAAAAAGAGTATATATGGGTTGGGGGTTATTGCTTGTTATACCATACGAATGAGTGGAAGACTACTCTCTCAGTCTTGGTTAATGAAAATATATTAGCGTAGAGTGACTATTTGTTGATATTGTGTTTACTTGTAAATTGGACATTGAATGTTTACTATTACAAGTACTTCATTTGTCTAAAAAAGAATGTCTCATTTGCAATTCTTCAAAAAGAGACATTCTTTTTAGGGCAGAGATAATATTATGTTACACAATTTATTAAATTTTAGAATTTTTAACTGAAGAAGCAGTATATTAAATATTATTTAATTGATGAATCAACTGGGGTAAAAAATAAAAAAATAAAAAAAATCAACTGGAGTAAATGGTCACCTTTGAGATGCTTCTTAGATTTTGCTGGATGGACGTCACTGTAATCAAAACAAAACAACAATTTATTTATTTATTTTAAAGATTTGTACACAAAACGAAACTAAAAAAATAAAAATAAAAATAAAAATAAAAAACTCTTCAAAATGAGGTTTGGAGGATAAAAATTGAACTTTTAAAATAGACTCCTTTATTGGTTAGGCTAATTCTACTTAATTGCGTAATAAAATTTTTTAATCACAAACCTGTCAAGTGACCTCTGTGCACCTAATGGGTACCCACTTCCAACCGACCCAGACATACCAAGAGAACCGCCCAAACATACAAGCATTGATCTTGGGTTCTCTTTCTTCTTTGCTGTCTCTCAATCTTACAAACACAAACCCTAGCCACCCAAATACGAACCTTAGCTTGATTATGCAGCTCTTGGGTTCTCGTTGACTATCTCTCTCTACCTTCTCTGGAATTTCTCTCACCAGGTTCGATTTTTTCTCTGGAATATCACTCACCAGCTCTTGGGTTTCATTCATTTTATTGTAAAACTGCCAATATTCAGAACCCACCACATGGTGGAAATTCTCATTTCAGCACTAGGTAGCCCTCAGTTTAATAAACACATTTTTTGTTCCACTCCAACCTATACATCCCATCTAACTCCAACCCATATAAATTCAATTTTTGTTTAGGGTGTCAATGTGCAACTTTTTGATAGTTTAAATTTGTAATTGATTTGTTTTATTTTATTGTTCAGGGTTTTAAGTTGCAACAACTTAATAGTTCGCTGCATTTTGGCTTAATCTATGTGAGCTGAGCTGCAAACTCATATGAAGCAGCAGCGACAACATCATTATCATCATCTTGCTTTAATTACATATGAATAATAAGGTCAGTCATATCAATTCTTTTTTAAAGTCATTTTTAATAATTTCATTTCATGTTAATTTGGTTCGCCCTTTTTGTCTTGCAAATTAAACTTTTTCACTATATTAGTGCATCTATAGGCTTTCTTCACACATGTCCATGCCACCTAATTCGAGTCTCTCTCATCTTATTACAAATAGGCTGCTGACACTGTTCTTAATTTTTTTACTGCCCAACACTCAGCAACATACAAAATAATTGGCCTAATAACTACTTTAGAAAATCTTTCTTTTCCTTTATTTGGTATTCGTTTATCATATGGAACACCACTAAGTTGTCTCTATTTTGTCTACCGTATACCAATTGTACTAATTATGCCACCATCTATCTCACCATTCTCTTGTCACCATCTATCTCACCATCCATTCGTATTAATGACCCTAAATATAAAAAATGGTTACAAACAAAGATCTACAGTTGTTATGGAATTGATTCCTTTTACTTTGAGTTTTTTTTTTTTTTTTTTTGGGGGGGGGGGGGGGGGGGGGGTAGATAGTTAGAAAATTTCAATTCAATTCCAACTCTTCTCAACCAAAGACACCCTGATGTCTCATTTGGGACACCATAGCTTGAATACCTGTCATCTGAATACACATTTGATGTAAAATTAAAATTCCTTAGAACTCCACAATGCACACCCACATGCAGTGACTTCCAAAATATTTTTGCAAAATCAGGAGGAAAAAGTTTAGTACCCTTCAACGTTTGTTATAGAAATGTAATTATTGGAGCATATAGAGCTGTTAGGCAAAGGCAACTTTGATTCAACAGTGCTTCTCTCCAAGATAAATGCAGGTTGTTTTGGAGTAGGAAGAGTGGTGTCATTGCAGAGCATGAACACTATTGTGGCCATGGATGGCCTGTCATTCGGTTGTTCTTGAACGCATAGGAGACCCACATGAATGCATCTCATCACTTGTGAGGGACTGCTGATTGAGTCGGTTATCTTTGAATCCAGCGACTCCAGTACTTTCCCCTTATCCCACATCTGCCATGCCTGAAACAAACGTACCATTATTTATGTAAAGAAAACTTTTTATAATTATGAAAGTAAAGATCCATTAAATTCTGCTTACACAACCCAAGAGGTTCCGTTCGGTTTCATGGTGATAAAAGCCTGTGTTCCCTTTACTACTAACAATCTCTAGCAATAAGACCCTGAAGCTGAAAACATCAGATTTCTCCGAAAATATTCCTTCCATTGCATATCCAGGAGACATGTACCCACTGCAAAAGCCAAAGCAGAACAGTCCATATAGAAAGCACAAAATTACATTTTCATTTACAATGTGCATGCTTGTGAAGCCAAGACAACACCAGTAAATGTAAAAGCATCAAAATTACGAGGATGTATAAATACCCAACAAAGATGTGGAAAGAGAGAGTGATATATGAAATGTTGGACCATGATTTAATAGAACAAAACAAAATGATTAAATAAGAATTATATAGCTGACCAGAATAGTTAAACTTTAAACAGGCTTTGTAAAGTATTTCTAGTAAATAAAACATCAAACTTATTATGTTCTGACAACTCTATTGGTGTTTGCTTGAGTTTGATTCCCCATAACATCATTCTGATGTTGCGTTTGGAATCAACGCTCCCAAATATAATTTGAATGTAATCACCAGCTGAATCCACATTAAAATTTGTCAGAACTCCACAATGCAAACCCACATGCAGTGACTTCCAAAACTTTTTTTACAATTATCAAAGGGAGAAAAGGTAATTAGCGCCCTTCAAAGTTTGTTATAGAAAGGTAATTTCTGGAGCTTCCAGAGCTGTCAGGCAAAGGCAAATTTGAGTCCAAGATAAATGCAGGTTGTTTTGGAGTAGGAAGAGTGGTGTCATTGCAGAGCATGAACACTACTGTAGCCATGGATGGCCTATCATTTCGATGTTCTTGAACGCATAGTAGACCAACATGAATGCATCTCCTTACTTGCGAGGGACTGCTAATTGGGTTGCCTATCTCTGGATCCACCAATTCTAATACTTTTCCCTTATTCCACAAGTCCCATGCCTGAAACAAACATGCATGTTGAAGTTCATGTAAACATACATTTTATTTCAAAATAATGAAAGCAAAGATCAATCCATTAATTTATGCTTACATAACCCAACAGGGTCTGATGGTTCTCTTGGTAATAAAAACTGTTGTTCCTTGTACTACTAACGATCTCTAGTAATAAGACCCCAAAGCTGAAGACATCAGATTTTTCCGAAAATATTCCTCCCATTGCATATTCAGGAGACATGTAACCGCTGCTTGTGAACCCAAGACAGCAGCAGCGAAATGTGAGGGCATTAAAATTAGGATGATTTAATCAAAAAAAAAAAAAAAAAACTGATTAGACAAGAATTATGTAGCTGACTAATATAGTTGAATAGACTTAATTTTGTAGAGGATTACTGGTAAATAAAATATCAAACTTACTAAGTTCCGACAACTCTATTAGTGTTTGCTAGGGTTTGATTCCCCCTAAAAATCCTGGCCATGCCGAAATCAGAAATCTTGGGGTTCATGTCCTCATCAAGGAGAACATTGCTTGCCTTCAAATCTCGATGAATGACCCTTAATCGAGAATCACGATGAAGATAAAGAAGCCCTCGAGCAATCCCCTCAATTATGTTACATCTTTGATCCCAGTTAAGTATTGCTTTTTTACTTGAACCTAATCCAGAAGACCAAATCTTAATAACTTATGTGACACTAATCCTTATCACCAATAAAATAACCAAGTTTCCAAAATTTTGATATTGATGTGAAGTATAACAAACCAAAGAGGAAGGCGTCCAAGCTACTGTTTGGCATGAACTCATAAACCAGCATTTTCTCCTCTCCCTCTATACAAAAGCCAACCAGCTTCACAAGGTTCCTATGTTGGAGTTTGGAAATTAATACAACTTCATTCTTGAACTCTTCTATGCCTTGTCCTGAGCTCTTTGAAAGTCTTTTGACAGCAAGTTCTTGTCCACTTGGTAGTTTACCCTGGGAAGAATTATTTAATATATAATTGTTTTAAAGGAAAAAAAAAAAGGTCTGAAAATACAATCCCTGAAAATTGAGATACCCTTTTGGTTACAAGTTGAGAGGCAAGGACAAAGTACGTACCTTGTAAACAGGACCAAATCCCCCTTCACCAAGTTTATTTGCTATAGAAAAGTTATCTGTAGCAGCTGCTATCTTTTCCAAGTTGAGAAATATTTCTGAGCTTTCTTCTTGATAAATATTAGTATTTGCTGATATATTCCTTTTTCTACTGGAAAAAAGTTTCTGAATGATCAAGGAGTGACATTTCCTTGCACCTGCTTTTTGAATGATCAAGGAAGTGAAATTTCTAGATACTAAATTATATATCTAACAATTATCAAAACAGTAATTATATGTATTTTTAAAATATAATTTAATTGATCATATTTACCTCCGCTCTTCACCCTGCATAAAATGCATGCCAAAATACCCAGACCGATTATCGTGGAAATGACTATGAGTATAATGATAAAGCCCCTCAATCGTTGTCTCTTTTCACCTGGATTTTCCATTAGACGTTATAAAATTCAAATATATCCTAAACATCATGAAGTTTTTAATTTATCAAATAAAAATGTTGAAGTTGCTAATGTTGTGACTGTCTTCAAAGGTCTGTGATTGACATAAGAGAAATCAACCACCAGGGCCCCAACCATAACTAAGAAATGACTATGATGTCTACTACAATGACAAGTAGAGTAAAAAATGAATGAAATACTCACCTAGTTCAGAATATGCAAGTCGAAGGTATAAATCCTCTCCACCATAAGAGAACTCCCTAACATCAATCAGATGTCCTCCCCAAACCATACACCCAATTCCATCTACATATGCATATGCAACACAAGAGCAGTTCTTTAAACAAAAATCACCACAATAGATATTGTCGCGGAGTTGCACGTAATCCGAGAGTTCTGGTAGTTTTGTTCCTGTCAGCTTTATAAAAATGTCAGATTTGTTATGATGATCAATGCTCGAATTCCTCTCACACTGTGTCTTAACTCGTCGTATACACCCTCCTGTCCAATTTCCTCTACGCCATTCTTTTGGAGAGTTTGGTTCATACCCTCTGAAACACCTGCATATTGGGGAGTTCATATTATTGCAGATCCCAAACGACCCACATGTAGCATAAATATCACAGGGACCATTGGGTGCCATCACTTGACTACGCCATTCTCTAGTCTTTTCATTCCAGTCCTTATAAATTACAGCTCCTACAGAAGTCAAAACCAGAACTGATGGGAATGGCACATTGAATATATAATGCATAAAATAGATTGTTCCTGCTTCAACACTCTTGTTAATTGTATAGCCATTCACGGGGTCTGTGGTCATCCCTGGAATTCCTATGAACTTCCTCCCATTCCACTGCCCACTTCTCCAGTATTTGATTGTTCCGTTTAAGATGGCACCTTCTGGCTGTTGGTGAGGCTCCAAAACTAAAACAAAACTTCCAGGTGATGGATCATTGTCACTCTTCCATGCTGTTAAAAATAAATTTTCATGTGTCTTAGTGTTCAACCCCAGATTCATGCCCTGTAACAAAGTATCTGATAGATGACGGAAGCTTTCCCATAACACACTTCCGTTTGATTTGTTTTCAGTAACAAGTAGATTTCCCAAACCACCAAGTACCGCAATTGTATCATTTGAGGCAGCAGATTTAATGTTTGTGGACCAAACTGTGTTGAATCTGCCATCCATGAGCACCAAATTCCCATCCCTTCCGATCATTAAAACTCCAGAGGTATCCGTCAATGGGTTATCACCGTTTGCAACCCATACAACATTTTCAGCAGGGAGTGGGAATCTTCTGTACCATATACCGACATATCTTACATGCGATGCATTAGGAGGACTAAAGAAGCCCAGCTCAAAGACTCCCCCTTCTGAAACTAAGGTTTCACCATCCAATACTTGTTGGGTTCTAGAAATGGTGTCTATTGCAAAACAAGATAGTAATAGGCAGATGTGAATGAATTGGAGGGTTGAAAGAATTACAGCTAAGTTTTTGTACGAATTGGTCATTAGGATTTGAGTATTCTGCCGAAAAAAGTAAGGCCGTGAAGTAAGTTGTTTCTTGTTCCAAGCTGTTATGAATTAACTACCGCCTTATAGCTGCTTGTTATAGCTGCTTCCGCGATGATTCCATGCACGTATTACCCACATCTCATATGACCATTGTCACGATCCGAAAATTCCTAAAAAAATCCCTGATTTATTCAAGTACAAATACATCAAAATACACTCAGGATGATAAAAAAAAAAAAAAAAAATCCTCTTTTATACAAAATCAATTTCCTCAAATATACATAAAAATTCTCCAAATAAAGAAAATGAAATCCTGCAATGCCGACTCTTCAACCTAATCCCGAATCTAGCAATCCCCGTTTATCTTCGGTACCTGAAACTGGAGAGTGGTGAGACAAAGAGTCCCAGAAAAAAAACCGTAACAAGAATTTTATGCATTTAATAAAAAATTTTGAAGCAAAATCACCTCATGTCATTCAAGGTATAAAGAACCCTATACTGAAAAAGAGTAATTCCTCACTGGATCATCAAGTCTCCAAACTTCCGGCCTCCTCTGCAACTCTCGACTCACTCACTGTCTCAAAACTCTCGTCTCACTCACTATCTCAAAACTCTCGTCTTCTCTCCGACTTCAAAGATAAAATTAAGAAAACATCATTTTCGGTGAACCCCACCACCCACTTCTTTCTCCCACATCTTTACTTATTTACTTCCTTATCACATCTTTATTCCTCTCAATCAAGCAAAACCCACTTGAAGAAACCAAAGAAAGAAGAAAATTTGGCCCAAAAAATATTCAATGGGCCCGCAAGTACATACCACAATTTTCACTCTCCTCCCACTTCGGCCACATGCTCACATCTCCTCCACACCTTCTCTTTCTTATCTCCGACCTTATCACCGTCCAATATATAACTTTTATATATATATATATATAAATTTAACCAAAAAAAACACAAACCAACCCATTACTCCTGTGGGACCCGCGCCAATGACCAATTCATTATTTCTTTTTCCACTTTTCCTTTCTCTATTCCATTTCCGCAGCAGCTCCATTTGCATTTAGACAAGATATATATTATATATATAATATATAGAAATGTAACCAATTTCAAGCCTATTAAATCATCACTAATGTGGATAAATTTTTAATAAAATAAATAAATAAATAATCAACTATAACCACTAAAAAATCATGAAATAAATTAAATTAAAATCTTAAAAAAATTCCAATTATCACAACCACGTTTGCCTTTTTCCTTTGTTCACATTTTCATTGCAATTGACCAACACACTTGCAATAGAGAGTTGAGAAAATTCAAACCGAAGACTTTCCTACTTAGAATAGGTTAGATTGTCCTTCATGAAATTTCAAAGAGTATAACTCTGTTTCTGTTTGCAATACTTATTTGCATCAAATGCCTATTTTTTTCTCTCTTTCCTCCAATAATTATCAAGTAGCTATTGTCACGAAAGATGTGATGTGATTTGTTTTATGATTCAAAGAAAACCACTCCACGATTTTGATATACAACGTGTTGAATTAAACACTAATTAATCGTTCTTGGTTTACTAATAAGGAATCAAGCATTTTACAAGCAACCTGTATGATTGATTGAGGTAAGCTACAAATTTTTATTAAGCATTATTTTAAATAAAACTAAATTAATTTGTCTATTGTCAACAAACATCTAGTCAATTTTACTATGGATTTGACTCTCAACAGAGGTGTTATTATTCATAGGCACAAATGAGTTGAAGCGTTTGATGTGATCACAGGCAAAATGAGCTATGATGGTAGATCAACCCTCTGATCCTATAAGCTTGATGATAACCTCTACCAACTATAGGCAGTAGAAGATTCCACAGTAGTTATTTGTACACAAACATATTTTAATATGCTTTAAAGCATTTCATTAGAGGCCGCTCAATGTTCCTTTAGACTGTTTGCCCGATGCAGTGCTCCAGGCAGCTTCTGTGGATTGTAATCCTTCTTAATGTTGCTTTGTTTGCCAGCAAAAAAAAATAAAAAAATAAATTAGAGGCCGCTCAATATAATTTGAGACGCTAAGTTTTTGTTGGAATTGATCATTTGTATTGAGTAGCTATTGTTGCCAGAATGAAAAAGAGTAGGGTGTGTGAAATAAGTTGTTTCCTGTTCAAAGAAAACCAGTTCATGAATTAATTCAGTAGCATGAAGTTGACAAAATACATGTAGTAGACTTTTTAACTTGGAATAATAGGCCAGACTGTCGTGAATGAAAATTCGGGGTACCTCCTAGATAGTTTCTAACCAATATATATAAATATTAGTATGTTTTGTAGGTCACGTGGTAGAGCATGGTCTACATCAGCATTTTACCATTTTAATAATTTAATAATGCTAATATTTTAAAAAAAAATGTTTTTCTATCCAATTGACTGTGAGTTCGCACTAAAAATATATTGCTCTATTTGTTAGGTCGTTACCGTAATCTCAAGGAGGGGATGCTGAAGGTTGTACAGGAAGGTGCCCTGAATCACCTCAATTAGTAATAATATTTTATATCGCTCTGTAAATAAAAGGTCCATATAGAATGCAGAAAGTACATTTTCACAAGGAAGAAAGACACGAAAAAATTTGTTGGCAGAGAGAGATATGATATGACATGGAACTGAACTTAATTAAACAAAACAACAAAATGTATTTTGCATAATACTTTTGTTATTTAAACATTAGGTTTACTAGGTTCGAACAATTCTGTTAGTGTTTGCTACATTTTGATTCCTTCTAACAATCCAACTTCCACACCGACCAAGAAAATCAAAACGAATGAATAAAATTTGAGAAACGCAACAATGCTCAAACTTGTTTTGTTTTGAACGACATCAATGGATATAATTTAATAAGTACTCTTTGTCGGGACTAGACTAGATACACTGTGCTTGTACAGCGTTTTTATCAATTATTGTCACATCCTACCAATGAGGGAGCTGTCTTCTTCAAAATTGGAAAATATATAAATGAAACAAATGGCTTACTTTAGCAGTTTCACCTCTCAAATTAGGATTTAGAGATATAAGTCAGGAATAACTTGTCTCGATGCATGATCCACAAAAATGGAACCTTCAGCCCCACTAGGTGTTCTCACGACTTTCGGAGGATGAAAGAGGACGATGAAATAGTCAGAAAAATCATGTTAAATAATAGGTTTGATGTTGTTCTTAATCTTATATAAGAATGAATGACATAGCTAGCCATCCTTATAGTTTTTTGTAAAGTCACTTTGGGAAAAGTTGTATTTTAATATTTAAATTCAATTCAAAAAGTGTTATAAAGTGTCAGAAAAATATCGAATATATATTAGAAATTTAAAAATATTTTTTTAAATTATAAATATATTTTAAAAAATATGGGACATATATTTACAATTATCTGTTAAACATCGTATCGGGTATGTCGCTCTTCTAAGCGCACAAGCTGGGAAACAAAAATCCAATAGGGCTTAAGAGGACCTGAGAGGCCAGGGAGCCCAACCCGAAGGTCACAAGCAGGGAAACAAAAATCCAACAGGGCTTAAGGGGACCTGAGATGCCAGGGAGCCCAATAGGATTGAGGGCCCAAAAAAAGGAAATCAAAGACAACTCAACACTGCAAAACAACACAAACACAAATGGGAGCGAATGAGTTAGGTATTACCGATCTGGTCATTGTTGGAATGGAAAACAGAGCTGGGCAATCTGCAGGTGAACGCTGTGAATCTGGCAGCAATTTTTGAAGAGAATGGAAAGGAAAGGAGGTGACTTCTGGCGGAGTCAAAGATGAATTTCTGGACCGATTTAAAAGAAGGTACGATTATTCTCTCCTTCTGTATGTCAATGCTACATTGTATAAAAATTAGGTGCAAAATTTTTAAAGTTGATTAAGGAAATTGTAGAATTAGGTGAGAGTTTCCAAGTGAAGTGGCTCCATTGAATTGGTTCAGTAACCAGTATACATGCTAAACCTTATAACTTCACCAACAAAACCTTATATTCAACAAGTTTCTTGTCTAACAATATAGGAGTTATATAACATCTTACAATACATCTTTCTGAAACATACCTGTATTCAAATCAGGCCTTAGGAGGACCGAATCCAAATATGCGCCAAAATATGGGGATGACTTGTGGCTAGCGGCAGACGCCAACCAAGATTCGATACATTGTATATTTCCCTTGTACATACAGAATATTTGGGCATTAAGATCCTAAGCCAAGAGAGAAACAGCCCAGATTGTCCGCTAAGGTCCCTAACCAATCATTTCGCCGGAAAATGAATACTGAGTCCCCACATGCAGTGACTTCCAAAACATTTTTGCAAGAATCAAGAGGGGAAAGGTTAGCGCCCTTCAACATTTGTTATAGAAATGTAATTATTGGAGCATATAGAGCTGTTAGGCAAAGGCAAGTTGATTCACTAGTGCTTCTCTCTAAGATAAATGCAGGTTGTTTTGGAATAGGAAGAGTTGTGTCATTGCAGAGAATGAAAACTATTGTAGCCATGGAAGTCTTCTATGCCTTGTCCTGAGCTCTTTGAAAGTCTTTTGACAGCAAGCTCATGTCCACTTGGTAGCTTACCCTGGGAAGAATCATTTAACCTATAAAAATGTTTTATTTTTTATTTTAAAGTCTGAAAATGAAATATATTCGGGACGCTTGGAGGGCTATGCCTCTTTGTGTTTGGTGGTGTATTTGGCTTGAGAGAAATCGGAGATATTTCGATGGAAAGAAAAAGCCTGTCTCTATGCTTAAGTTCTCTATTCTTTCCACTCTTTTTTGTTGGGTTTCAGGGAGGGATTTTCGATCTGTAGAGAAGTTGGTTGTTTTCTTGGCCTCTTTGACGGCTTGAGGCGTTTTCGGCCTTGTTTTTGCCCTTGGGTTTCGCTCCCCTTTTGAGCGGTTCTTCAATAAAATTTACTTATCAAAAAAAAAAAAAGTCTGAAAATGAAATATAACCAGGGAAAATTTATATACCCTTTTGGTTACAAGTTGAGAGGCAAGGACAAAGTACCTTGTAAACAGGACCAAATCCTCCTTCACCAAGTTTATTTGCTAGAGAAAAATTATCTGTAGCAGCTGCTATCTTTTCCAAGTTGAAAAATGGAAGGTCGGAGCTTTCTTCTTGATAAATGGTATGTCGAGGCAAAAAGGCTTGCGGAGAATCTGCTGACATTTTCCTTTTTCTACTGGAAATTTTTTTTCTTAATGATTGTCTTTGCACCTGGTTTTCAATATGAATTATCAAGGAGTGACATTTCTAGATACCAAATTATATAACAGTCATCGAAATAGCAATTATTGATCATATTTACCTCTAAGTGAGGTCTTCATCTGCATAAAATATATGCCAAAATACTGAGGCCGATTATCGTGGAGATGACTATGAGTATAATGATAAAGCCCGTTATTCGTCTCTTTTCACCTGAATTTTCAATTAGACATTGCTAAATTCAAGTCCATCCTTAACAACATGAATTTTTTAATATCAATATAAAAATGTTGAAGTTGCTAATGTACTGATTGCCTTCAAAGGTCTGAGATGGACATAAGAAAAATCAATTTGCAATCCAACCACAACTAAGAAACATCAAATAAATGTGCTGTTGTTGGTGTAAGCAAAATTAATCATTGTTGGCTAAGGCTAGGAAAAAATTGCATATATATCCCAAGGAAATGTCAGAGCCATCATAATTGCTACAACGACGATTAAAAAATAAATCAAATACTTACCTACTTCAGAATATGCGAGTCGAAGGTATAGATCCTCTCCACCATAAGAGAACGCCCTAAACATCAACCTGATGTCCTCCCAAAACCATACAACCAATTCCATTTACATGTGCATATGCAACACAAGAACAGTTCTTCAGGCAAAAATCACCACAATCTATAGCGTCATTCAAAGCCAAGTAATCTGAGAAGTCTGGTAGTTTTACTCCTGTCAGCTTTATAAAACCGTCTACTTTGCTATCATCAATGCTCGAATTCCTCTCACACTGTATTTTAACTCTTCTTATACAACCACCTGTCCAATTTTCTCTGTGCCATTCTTCTGTAGACTTTGGTTCATACCCTCTCAAACAATTGCATATTGGGGAGTTCCTATCATTACAGATCCCAAATGAGCCACATGTACCATAAATATCACAGGGACCTTTGGGTGCAATCACATAATTTACCCATTTTCTAGTCTCTGCATCCCAGTTTGTTTGAATTAGAGCTCCCAGAGGACTCAAAAACAATGGAAATGACGACATATTGAATAAAGAATACACAAAATAGATCGTTCCTGCCTGATTATCCTTGACAAGGTTAAAGCCTGTAAGGTAGTCCGTGGTCATGCCTGGAATTCCAATGAAGGTCCTCCTGTTCCACTGCCCACTTCGCCAGCATTGGATTGTTCTGTTTAAGATCACACTTTCTGTCAGTTCACGAGGCTCCAAAACTAAGACAAAACTTCCGGGTGATGGATCCTTGTCACTCTTCCATGATGTTAAAAATAAACTTTCCCCTGTCTTAGTGTTCAATCCCAGCTTCATGCCCGGCAATAAAGTATCTGATGGACGACCGAAGCTTTCCCATAAGACACTTCCGTTTGATTTGTTTTCAATAAGAACAAGATTACCTGAAGCACGAAGTACCGCAATTGTATCATTTGATGCAACAGAAGCTAGCTTTGTGGACCAAATTGTGTTGAATCTGTCATCAATGAGCACCAAATGCCCATCCATTCCGATCACTAGAACTCCAGACATATCCGTCAATGGGTTGTCACTGTTTGCAACCCATACAACTTTTTTAACAGGGAGTCCTCTGTACCATATACCCACATATCTTAAATGGGATGCATTAGGAGGACTAAAGAAGCCCAGCTCAAAGCCTTCCCCTTCTGAAACTAAGGTTTGACCATCCAATACTTGTTGGGTTTCAGAAATGATGTCTATTGCTAAACAGCAAGATAGTAATAGGGAGATGTGAATAAACAGGAGGAACCAAAGAATTGCAGCTAAGTTTTTGTTGGAATTGATCATTTGTATTGAGTAGAAGGAAAAATAGTAAGGTGTGTGAAACAAGTTGTTTCTTGTTCAAAGAAAAACAGTTCATGAATTAATTCAGTAGCATGAAGTGACAAAATACTACTAGTAGACTTTTTAACTTGGAATAAGTCAAATTGTTGGGGATGAAAATTCTGGGTACTTCCTAGATTGTTTCTAAAACCAATTTTGTATATAACTCCAATATGTTACATCTTACTGCCTTCCGTTAGATAACCATTAAAAGATAGCCCTTAAATGGTCAAGTGACTAACACGTGAGATATTATTATTTTTTGTGTAAATATAAAAATGCCCTCAATTATACACTTGTATATGTTGTATATGTGTACATACAATCTCAAATATGTCACTCTCTCTCTATCTCTACTTTGCTCGACACTGCCCTCATTTGGATCGGTTGGCCAAGTACTTATTTAGCCCAAACATATAGTCCTGTGAATTCACGACAGCAAGCATTAGTATCAAAATCCACATTGTTAGTATTTCACTGAACACAAACAAATTGTCATGCATACAAAATTGAAATAATTAAAAGGACCATTTCAATGCATTTCATTCTATTAGGTTTTGTCCAAGACAGACACTAAATCATACTAAAACTCTAATTTAGCAAATAGACATGAAGAGACTTTGAGGGTTTCAGATATTTTTAATCAAAAGAGAGAACCACAGACGTGAATGAGTGAGGAAGGGGAGAAAGAAGTTACAAACCATGACGTTTTGGTCGTTATTTGAATATTTTCATCTCTTAGGTCCAGTTTGGTTGGAAAGAAACGGAAGGAAAGAAAAGAAAGGAAATTAAGAGAGAAGATTTTTTGTGTTTATATAAAATTTTGGAAGGAAAAGAAAGAGAATAGAAGGATTTGGAGAGATACATTAAAACTTGATGAGTTGGTTTTGTTATCTCTTAGAAAATGAGAGTAATTTGAAAGAAATGATAGCATTTTTAATAAAACTTTATTAATACGAAATTTGTCCTTATTTTTATAGTAGACAAAATTTATAGAAAATGATACGATAGTAAATTCATTAAAATAGTTTCTTTCATTTCTTTCCCTAACATGATTAATATACTTTCTTTTCTTTTCCTTTATTAATCAATCAAACACGATAATTGTTTAACACTATCAACTCATTTCCATTCTTTTCTCATCTCTCGTACTAGTGGGTTATCTAAGTTGCTATACTTTATGGTACCGAATGTTGGGCAATTAGGAAACAACATTTGTATAAAGTAAGTGTGATAGAAATTGGAATGTTGAAATGGATGTGCGGTAAGACTAAGAAGGACTGAATTAGAAATGACCATATTCGGGAGATGGTTGGAGTAGCACAAATTGGAGATAAAATGAGAAAAAAAATTGGTTAAGATGGTTTGAACATGTGCAAAGAAGACCTTTTAGGTGCATTGATTTGAAAAAAATGACATAGTCCACATTGAAGATAATACTAAGGGAAAAGGAAGACCAAAATTAATGTTGGTAGAGTTAGTAAAGAAAGATATGAAAGCATGTGGATTGATCGAGACTATGACTTTAAATATAACAAAATGAAAACATGAGATTCATTTAGTCACTCCAATAATTGAGAAAAGGCTTGGTTATTTGTTTATGTCCATAATAGGTTGTCTAAGAAAAGAATATTTCGTTGGTTACGAAGCAATTCATCATCACCTTGGGAAGAAGATTTTATTGAACTTCCTCCCAAAAAAATCTTAGGAAAGTCCATTCTGGTAGGTGTCCTATGGAAAACAACAACAAAAAAAAGCCACAATCAGGAGCTATGGTTTCCCCCCCCCCCCCCCCCCCCCCCCTTCCCGCTTGGATTAAACTTGGGCATATTTGTGTGGAGTTACACAGCCTAAGCTAGACCCCAAAATTGTGTGTGTCCAGGGTGCCAAGTTGACGAATCTTATAATAAAATCTAAATCGCAACTCTCTTTGTATTGTCCTTGTCCTATAACATTTTGAGGGGAACACTAAATGTAGTAAGCAGAGAAAGTATATTATAAAACAAATGACATATCCTTTAGCAGTTTCACCCCCAAAATAGTTTTTAATTCTTAAAAAAAAAAAGAATTTAATGAAGATTGAAATCTCAGATGATCCTAGACTACCATTCATATCCAGTGTCCCACAAGCAGGGGAACAAAAATCCAACAGGACTTAAGGGAGACAGACCTGAGAGGGCAAGAAAACAACAGAGAACCCAACCCAGTGAAAGGCCCAAAATGGGGCAAAAACAACTCACACTGCCAAACAACACACGCACAGACACACACACAAATTGGAGCGAATGAGTTTGGTATATTCTTGATCTGACTGATTGTTGGAATGGAAAACAGAGCTGGGCAATCTCCAGGTGAACGCTATAGATGCGGCAGAAATGCAGGCTACAGCAATTCTTGATTAGAATGGAAAGGAGGCCACTTCTAGTAAACAATATACATACTAAACCTTATAACTTGATCAACAAATGTACTCTGTCTATAAGTTTTGGTTACAAATAATATTCAACCAGTTTCTTGTCTAACAATATAAGAGTGATATAACATCTTACAATAGATCTTTCTGAAGCAAACCTGTATTAAAATCCTAGGTCAGGCCTTAGGAGGACCAAACCCAAAAATGCAGCAAAATATGGGGATGATAATGATGATTTGTGGCCAGGGAGGGGTAGAGGCCAACCAATATTCGATATAGCTGGTTTTCCACGAAATCCATTTAACTTGTACAGAAAGAATTTTGGGGCATTGAGAATGAAGTTGGGAGAAAAACAGCCCAGATCCTCTGCTAAGGTCCCTAAGCAATCACTTGGTGGAATAGTAAATGAGTCCCTACATGCAGTGACTTCCAAAACATTTTTGAAAGAATCAAGAGGGAAAAAGGTTAGCGCCCTTCAACGTTTGTTATAGAAATGTAATTATTGGAGCATATAGAGCTGTTAGGCAAAGGTAAGTTTGATTCACTAGTGCTTCTCTCTAAGATAAATGCAGGTTGTTTTGGAGTAGGAAGAGTTGTGTCATTGCAGAGCATGAAAACTATTGTAGCCATGGATGGCCTATCATTTGGTTGTTCTTGAACACATAGGAGACCTACATGAATGCATCTCATCACTTGCGCGGGACTGCTGATTGAGTCTGCTATCTTTGAATCCAGCAACTCCATTGCTTTTCCCTTATTCCACAACTGCCATGCCTGATACAAACGTGTGGTTGTTTATGTAAGGACAATCTTTTTAAAATAATGAAAGCGAAGATCCATTAATTTCTGCTTACATAATGCAATAGGTTCCGATAGGTTTCATTGTGATAAAAGCCGGTGTTCCTTTTACTACTAATGATCTCTAGCAATAAGACTCCAAAGCTGAAGACATCAGATTTCTCCGAAAATATTCCTTCCATTGCATATTCAGGGGACATGTAGCCACTACAAAAACCAAAGCAGAACAGTAAGTATAGAAAGCACAAAAGTACATTTTCATGTACAATGTGCATGCTCTTGAACCCACGACAACACCAGTGAAATGTTAAGGCATTACAAATTACAAGGATGAATAAATGCCGAACAAAGATGTGGCAAGAGAGAGTGAGATATGACATGTTGGACCATGTTTTAGCAAAACAAAACAAATTGATTGAATAAGAATTATATATCTGACCAGAATAGTTGAAATAGGATTTGTAAAGTATTTCCTGTAAATAAAACATCAAACTTACTAAGTTCCGACAATTCTATTGGTGTTTGCTAGAGTTTGATTCCCCATAACAATCCTGGCCATGCCAAAATCAGAAATCTTTGAGTTCATTTCCTCGTCTAGTAGAATATTGCTCGCCTTGAGATCTCGGTGAATGATCCTTAAGCGAGAATCACGATGAAGATAAAGAAGCCCTCGAGCAATGCCCTCAATTATTTTACATCTTTGATCCCAGTTCAGTATTGCCTTTTTACTTGAACCTAATCCAAAAAAATAAAAATAAAAATAAAATCTTAACAATTCTATAGATATTTGATTTTGCAATATCTCAACCCAACCGCACAAGATTCAAAATATGAGTTTCTGATGCGTCGCTAATCCTTGTGACCAATAACATATCCTAATTTCCAATATTTTATATTGATGTAAAATAAAACAAACCAAAGAGGAAGGCGTCCAAGCTGCTGTTTGGCAAGAACTCATAGAGCAGCATTTTCTCCTCTCCCTCAATACAAAAGCCAAGTAGCTTCACAAGGTTCCTGTGTTGGAGTTTGGAAATTAATATGACCTCATTCCTGAACTCTTCTATGCCTTGTCCTGAGCTCTTCGAAAGTCTTTTGACAGCAAGCTCTTGTCCACTTGGTAGCTTACCCTGGGAAGAATCATTTAACCCATAAAAATGTTTTATTTTTTATTTTAAAGTCTGAAAATATAATATAAACGGGGAAAATTTATATACCCTTTTGGTTACAAGTTGAGAGGCAAGGACAAAGTACCTTGTAAACAGGACCAAATCCCCCTTCAGCAAGTTTATTTGCTAGAGAAAAGTTATCTGTAGCAGCTGCTATCTTTTCCAAGTTGAAAAATGGAAGGTCTGAGCTTTCTTCTTGATAAATAGTATGTCGAGGCAAAAAGGCTTGCGGAGAATCTGCTGACATTTTCCTTTTTCTACTGGAAAATATTTTCTGAATGATTGTCTTTGCACCTGGTTTTAAATATGAATTATCAAGGAGTGACATTTCTAGATACCAAATTATATAACAATCATCGAAATAGCAATTATTGATCATATCTACCTCTAAGTGAGGTCTTCTTTCTGCATAAAATATATGCCAAAATACTGAGCCCGATTATCGTGGAGATGACTATGAGTATAATGATAAAGCCCCTTATTCGTCTCTTTTCACCTGAATTTTCAATTAGACATTGCTAAATTCAAGTCCATCCTTAACAACATGAAGTTTTTAATATCAATATAAAAATGTTGAAGTTGCTAGTGTACTGATTGCCTTCAAAGGTATGAGATAGACAGAAGAAAAATCAATTTGTAATCCAACCACGACTAAGAAACGTCAAATAAATGTGCTGTTGTTGGTGTAAGCAAAATTAATCATTGCTGGCTAAGGCTAGGAAAAAAATGCATATATATCCCATGGAAATGTCGGAGCCATCATAATTGCTACAACGACGATTGAAACATAAATCAAATACTTACCTAGTTCAGAATATGCGAGTCGAAGGTATAGATCCTCTCCACCATAAGAGAACGCCCTAACATCAATCAGATGTCCTCCCCAAACCAGACAACCAATTCCATTTACATTTGCATATGCAACACATGAACAGTTCTTCAGGCAAAAATTACCACAATCAACAGCGTCATCTAAATCCAAAAAATTTGAGAAGTCTGGTAGTTTTACTCCTGTCAGCTTTATAAAACCGTCTGCTTTGCTATCATCAATGCTCGAATTCCTGTCACACTGCATTTCAACTCTTCTTATACAACCACCTGTCCAATTTTCTCTGTGCCATTCTTCTGTAGACTTTGGTTCATACCCTCTCAAACAATTGCATATTGGGGAGTTCCTATCATTACAGATCCCAAATGGGCCACATGTACCATAAATATCACAGGGACCTTTGGGTGCAATCACATAATTTACCCATTTTCTAGTGTCTGCATCCCAGTTTGTTTGAATTAGAGCTCCCAGAGGACTCAAAAACAATGGAAATGACGACATATTGAATAAAGAATACACAAAATAGATCGTTCCTGCCTGATTATCCTTGACAAGGTTAAAGCCTGTAAGATAGTTTGTATCCATGTCTGGAATTCCTATGAAGGTCCTCCCGTTCCACTGCCCACTTCTCCAGCATTGGATTGTTCCGTTTAAGATCACACCTTCTGGCAGTTCACGAGGCTCCAAAACTAAGACAAAACTTCCAGTTGATGGATCCTTGTCACTCTTCCATGATGTTAAAAATAAACTTTCCCCTGTCTTAGTGTTCAATCCCAGCTTCATGCCCGGCAACAAAGTATCTGATGGATGACTGAAGCTTTCCCACAAGACACTTCCGTTAGATTTGTTTTCAATAAGAACAAGATTACCTGAAGAACGAAGTACCGCAATTGTATCATTTGATGCAACGGAAGCTAGTTTTGTGGACCAAACTCTGTTGAATCTGTCATCGATGAGCACCAAATTCCCATCCCTTCCGATCACTAGAACTCCTGACGTATCCGTCAATGGGTTGTCACTGTTTGCAACCCATACAACTTTTTCAACGGGGAATCCTCTGTACCATATACCCACATATCTTACATGAGATGCACTAGGACTAAAGAAGCCCAGCTCAAAGACTTCTCCTTCTGAAACTAAGGTTTGACCATCCAATACTTGTTGGGTTTTAGAAATGGTGTCTATTGCTAAACAAGATGGTAATAGGGAGATTTGAATAAACAGGAGGAACCAGAGAATTGCAGCTAAGTTTTTGTTGGAATTGATCATTTTGTATTGAGTAGCTATTGTGGCCAGAAGGGAAAAAGAGTAAAAAGACCTTGGCGAGAGATATTTTTTTTGTGCAAAAAATATATATAGTATATTACTCTCCCAATCAATTGTTGCGTCTTACTTACTACCTTCCGTTAGCCGTTAAAGAGACCTTGGCGAGAGATTTTTTTTTTTTTTTTTTTTTTTTTTTTTTTGTGTAAATCCAAAAATGCCCTCAGCTATTATACGTCTCACCCAAACTCATCCTAAAGCTCTAATTTAGCAAATAGACATCAACAGACATTCGTAAAGGCACAAATCCAAAGAAATTATCATAATAAGGATTGATGTGACGAACCAGGGCATCTTAAGTTGTGTAAAGCGTTCGATGCCGGAATCTAAGGAGTTTGCAGATGAAGTAAGTCGAAGAGGAGACGGAGCTCCGGTATAAAGACACAAAAGTTGCCGAAAACGTCGCCAAAGGTAGCACTGGATGACAATAAGGTTCTTGGACTTTTAATTTGTAAAAAAGCAATTTTCAAAGATTGGTTATTTGAAAAAAAAAAACCTCTGAAAGAGATGTTTACTGTATAAAGTTTGTCCAAGATGATTGATGGACCAGTTTGAAAAATAAATAAGACAAGCAGAATAAATAGACCAGCATCCCACACCAACTCGGCGAATAATCAAAATGAATGAATAAAATTCTAGACGTGTAAAAATGGAATAAAATTGAAAAAATCTTAAAGAATAGTCTACTCTCAGAGAGATGGATCGAAAGAAAAAAATCTTAATGTTTGAAGGGGACGCTGGCAAAGTTGAACTAGCACCACTAAAACACTAAAATGAAAATTGAACACACACCGGTAAAACACTAAAATGGAGGAGCAAACAGAGAAAGTATATACATAAAGCAAAACAAATGACAATCTTTTAGCAATTTCATCCTCAAAATTGCAATTTTTTAAATACTTAATTTTTTTTTTGATTAAGATTGAAATATCAGATCGAGAATCCTATTTCATATAATTTTATAAAAAAAAAATTCAATTAGAATGTAAATAAAAGGACACTTTTCACATCCGTTCATCATGCATACATATATATATATATATATATACACTAGAAGAAGGCACGTGCGATATACGTGATGAATATTTTATTTCTTATTTTATTATTTGATAAATTATTTTATTAAACAATTACCTATTTTACCTATTTTAATAATGATTTGAAACTCTTTTATTTTAATTCAATTTATTTATAGAAATTTTTTTATTTTAATTCATTTTTTATCAATTAATAAATATTTTTATATTAATAAATAAATACTGAAACACTAAAATAAAATAAAATAGTTAATTTGTGGTAGAGTTTTATCGAGTATTTTTATATTTATAATTTTTGTCTAATTAGATTTCCTTTTATTAAAAAGTCAAAATAAAAGGTAATTTGTGGTAGGATTTTAGAAAAATTATTTAATTTTTTATATCAATTAGTAAATATTTTTTATATTAATAATTTATATCTAATTAAATATATATTTTTTATTAAAAACTCATAATAAATAGATAAATAGATAATTTGTGTTAGAGTTTTATATAAACTCTTTTAAAAACTATTTTTATATCAATTAATAAATATTTTTTATATTAACAGTTCTTGTTTAATTATAATTTTTTTCTTAAAAAACTCATAATAAATAAGTAATTTGTGTTAGAGTTTTATAGAAACTCTTTAAACATATCCTTATCTAATGCGATAGAATTTTATTGAAAATAAAATAGGTAATTTGTGTTATAATTTTATATAAATTATTTTATTTTATTTAAATATATCATTGTCTAATTAGATTTTCTTTTATTAAAACACTCATAATAAAAGGTAATTTGAGGTAGAGTTTTAGAGATATTATTTTATTTTTTATATCAATTAATAAATATTATATCAATAATTATTGCTTAAATAGATTTTCTTTTATTAAAAAACTCATAATAAATAGATAAATAGGTAAATAGTGTTGGAGTTTATTTATTTTTTAAATATATCCTTGTCTAATTATATTTTCTTTTATTAAAAAATTCATAATAAGTAGATAAATACAGGTTATATGTAATAAAGTTTTAAAGAAAATAAAATAGGTAATTTGTGGTAAAGTTTTATATAAATTATTTTATTTTCTTTAAATATATTCATAATAAATTGGTTATATGTGATAAAGTTTTAGAAAAATTATTTTACTTTTTATATCAATTAATAAATATTTTTTTATATTAATTAATCTTGTCTAATTAGATTTTCTTTTATTAAAAAACTCTTAATAAATTAATAAATACGTAATTTATGTTAAAGTTTTATAGAAACCCTTTTAAAATCTCTGTTTATTTCAATTAGTAAATATTTTTTATATTCATAATAATAAAACAAGTAATTTGTGATAAAGTTTTATAAAAATTATTTTATTTTCTTTAAATGTATCCTTGTCTAATTAGATTTTCATTTATTAAAAAAGACATAATAAAAGGTAATTTGTGGTAGAGTTTTTGAGAAATTATTTAATTTTTATATCAATTCAAAAATATTTTTTATATTTATGATTCTTGTCTAATTAGATTTTTTTATATTAAAAAATTCATAATAAATGGATGAATAAGGAATTTGTGTTAGAGTTTTATAGAAATTTTGTTAAAAAATTATTTTACTTTCTTTAAATATATCTTGTTTAATTAGATTTCCTTATATTAAAAAAGTCATAATAAATATATAAATACAGGTTACATGTGATTGAGTTTTAAAGAGAACAAAATAGGTAATTTGAGATGGACTTTTAAACAAATTATTTTATTTTCTGTAAATATATTCATAATAAATATGTAAATACAGTTATATGTGATAAAGTTTTATAGCAAATTAAATTGCTAATTTGTAGTAGAGTTTTATAGAAATTATTTTATTTTTTAAAGTAATTTCTTTTTTAATTAAATTTTATTTTATTAAAAAAATCAAAATAAATAGATAATCTCATAGTGTTTTATAGAAAATAATTTGTGGTAAATTTGATAGAAATTTTTGTATTTTCTTTAAATATATTATTGTTTAACTATATTTTCTTTTATTAAAAAAATTCATAATAAATATATAAATAGGTAAGATGTATTAGAGTTTTATAGAAACTCTTTTACAAACTCTTTTTATATCAATTAATAATTATTTTTTTATATTAATAAATATTTTTTAATTAGATTTTCTTTTATTAAAAAACTCATAATAAAAGGTAATTTAGGGTAGAGTTTTAGAAAATTATTTTATTTTTTATATCAATTAATAAATATTTTTTATATTAGTAATTCTTGTATAATTAGACTTTCTTTTATTAAAAAAACATATAATAAATTGATAAATAGGTAATTTGTGTTAAAGTGGAAACTCTCTTAAAATTTCTTTTTATATCAATTAATAAATATTTTTTTATATTAATAATTTTTGTTTAATTAGATTTTCTTTCATTAAAAAATCACAATAAATAGATAAATAGATAATTTATAGAGACTCTTTAAATATATTATTATATAATGTAATAGAGTTTTATTGAAAATAAAATAGCTAATTTGTGGTTGAGTTTTATACAAATTATTTTATTTCTTTAAATATATCCTAGTTTAATTAGATTTTCTTTTATTAAAAAACTCATAATAAAAGGTAATTTGTGGTAGAATATTAGAAAAATTATATTATTTTTATTTAGGAAAAAAAATTATATTATTTTTTATATCAATTAATAAATATTTTTTATATTAGTAATTTTTGTCTAATTAGATTTTTTTTTATTAAAAAATTCATAATAAATAGATAAATATGTAATTTGTATTAGAGTTTTATTGAAACTCTTTTAAAAACTCCTTTTATATCAATTAATTAATATTTTTATTTATAAATAGTAATCCAAAGTAAACTTACCAAATCAAACACTTCTAAATAGAAAAATAAAATAAAACAAATCAACTACTTCTAAACATTAATTAGAAAGAGAAAAATAAAAATAAAACAAAAGAAAAAAAATAATAATAATGCTTCCAAAAAGAAAAAGTAAAGGAAAAAAATTAACAATCCAACCTTATCAATACAACAAATTAAAAATAAAAATTTTTGAACCATCCAAAGTATAATTACAAAGAGTAAAATAAAAATAAAAACTAAAGAAAAAAGAAGAATGATACTTCTGAAAAAGAAAAAAATAATAATAATGACTCAAAATAATAATAAAATAAAAAAATGAAGAAAAAAAATCAACCACTTCTAAACATTAATTAGAAAGAGAAAATAAAAATAAAACTAATCAACTACTTCTAAACCTAAACATTAATTAGAAAGAGAAAATAAAAATAAAACTAATCAACTACTTCTAAACATAAACATCAATTAGAAAGAGAAAAAAAAAATAATTACATAATAATAATGCTTATAAAAAGAAAAAGTAAATGAAAACTTGCAAGACCAATTATAAAGAGAAGAGAAAAAATATGCACACCACAAGCTTGACCTAATATATATATATATATAAAAGTTATATGTGATAGAGTTTTATTGAAAATAAAATAGGTAACTGAAATTTTATTAGGTAATTTGTGTTAAAGTTTTATAGAAACTTTTTTTATAAAAACTCTTTTTTATATCAATTAATAAATATTTTTTTATATTAATAAATAAATATAAACTACGGAAGCAATTAATAAATATTTTTTTATATTAATAAATAAATACTGAAACACTTTGCATATTTAATAATAGTATAGATATACATAATTTTACAACTCTTTTGCTAAAGATTTCACCGTACATACCATGATGCCAAGTGTGTATATCAATATATATATTTTTTATTTTTTCTCAATAAGGCAAAGAATGAACCATACAATTCCGGGGTGCTAAGGACCTAACAAATAAACCGGATACAAATAATCCACACCAACCCACACGCAGGGGAACGAAAATTCAACAGCCCATAAGAAGAGGTCCAACCCAATGAAGAGCCCAAAACAAGGCAAAGACAACAACTCACACTGCCCAAACAACACAAACACAAATTGGAGCAAATGAGTTAGGTATTCTCGATCTGGCCATTGTTGGAATCCAAAACAGAGCAGCAATTTTGAGTAAAATGGAAAGGAGGTTACTTCTGGTAGAATAAAAAATGAGCTTCTGGACCAATTCAGAAGAAGACTGAGCTCTACCAAAAGGTACGATTATTCTCGCTTCTCCCATATGAATTACACACACTCAGCTCACCTACACATAGTTTAAAAGGAAATTAGAGTTTGCATTAGAACTCGAGGTCCAATTAGATTGAACCTTCATTTGGATGACCAAGAGCGATGCCCTCAAATCAATTCCGGTATGTATAAATAATGATGCTATATAATTCCACCAATAAACTGTAATTAAAAACACATGTAAACACACACAGTAAAAGGGTAATCTAGTTTTGCCAATTGGTCTGGTAATTTTCTATGCAAAAGAGCAAGTTTCATATACCTGAATG